CCGCCACAGCATGGCTTGACAAGTGGTGCATTGGTGCACGCCCAGGATCTGAACCCACCAACCCCGGGCCGCCAAAGCGGAGCGTGCGCACTTAACCGCTTGCACCATCGGGCCGGCCCTAGGTTTATGCCTTTCTTATCACTGCAAACTCCCAGATTCCTTGCCTCTCTCTGACATTCATGGAGGACTTGGCCCCCTTGCCCCTCCTTGACATTCACTAAGGAGATGCCCCATGTCTTGCTCTGTCCTCTCGGTCCTACCACTGACTTAGAGATATCTGTTCATGTGTATGACTCATCCAGTTCCCAAGCCTTCTTGACTTCCTCTACTTCTATGTACTTTCACTTCTACGTACTTGAGTGACGCAGTGCCACAGCCACACTCTGGACTTTATATAACCCAGAACCACTGCACCGCAGACCTTGTAAACATGCCTTAGTGCACGCCAATATCATTTCCTGCATGAATTTCTACAAGAGATGCTAACTGGTCTCGTATCTCTAGACTACTCACTTCCTCCCCGACTTTCTGCCCAGTATAATTTTTCTTAAGTAAAAATCTGATATTGTTACTACCGTGTTTAAAATCTTTCAATATCTTCCCATTGCTTTCACTGTCAAATTTTATTTATTCATATCCTGTATGTTCCAAAGATTTAAGGCAGCTCATGAAGATACAGAATAAACAGCTACATAGACTATGTTAAAATAAAGAGTGAAAAGAAAAAGAGGAACATAGGTGAAGATTGAAAATAGAATAAGAAACAAGACCAAAATCATTAAGTGGGGAGAAAAGTTACAAAACAGTATGATCCTAATTATCTTAAAAATAAACACATGTACATAGAAAAGTAATTTGAAGGATATATACCAAATTATTAAACCATATTTATCACTACATACTAGGATTACAGGTGATTTTAATTTTCTTCTGTTAATTTACTATAACTTTACAAATTTCCTGCAGTGACAATATTGCTTTTGTTTCAAAAGGTTTAAGGTGATTGAAAATAGGAAATGTAATAACTTATTACCACCCTCACAAGAGACCAATGATGGGTTTCACATAATACCAAACACCAAAGAAAAAGTAAGTAAAAGCAATTTTATGAAGGAATTGATACTGTGAGGTCTAGGGGAGCAACCGCAAGCTGATGATGTGGCTTGACCTGAGGGTAACTTTAAAAATATTCAGTCCTGGAGAAACCACTCTTCAAGCAATTTCTAAATACTACTTCTTTTAATTGAGCTTCTGGTAAATGCTGGTGGTAATGAATCTAAAATCTGTCAAAGATAATGTTTACTTCTAAGTCTATTTTAAATTTTTTCATGCATTCTCCAGTTCAGCTCTGGGTTTGTGCTAGGACTAAACTGTCTTTAATCACATTTTCTCCATGCAGCCCTAAAACCATCTTGGTATATTGAGGGTTGCCCTAACGTATACATAACTTAAGGTTGCTTCATAACGCAATGGACTTTTCTCTCCTACTCTGCCAATTACCCTCTCTCTGAGAGTGGATTAGCAATATTAGTCTAGGTGACTTTTATCTAACTAGGGCTTCACCAGTCATGCATTGTGCAGACGCAGGGAGCAAAGTTCACATCACTATCTTTGTAAATGGTACCCCCTATGCAGTGCATAATGTATGCAATCTTATACACCAGCCCTATATCTTACCCTTCAATACAGCTCAGTGGGCAGTATATCAAATTATTACATAAAAGGCCTGGAAAAGAGGTAAAAATGGCCTAAATTGCTGAAAGGAATACCACAGCTTTATTAAAAAAAATTCCCTATTAATTATAGCTAAAAGCCTCAGTAGCACAAATATTCCTGTTTTTGCTACATGCAGGTAGTTCAGTGTTGGAATTAACAGGAGACTAGCATTCTTTGCTGGGGCTATGAAATGAGTGAGAAGTACCCATGACATCTATCCAGGATCAGGGTTTGAGATGTGGTGAAACAGTATTCTAAACCCTTTTTAGACTGGCTTAATTTCACTCTGCTGTTTCTCAAAGGGATAAAAAGGACTTTTCAACACCACCCACAGTGCTTCCACACATCCAACCCCTTCTGATTTTTTGATTCTTCCCTTCCTCTTTTCTTTTCATTGGCTGAGGAGACATAGCAACTCCTGATTCCAGTGTAGTCTTTGGAATAAATAAAAAGAAGTGCTCAGCTACAAATGTCCACTAGAACTTTTTCTTAATCTAAACAATAAAGCACCAGATCTTTTAACAGTGGAAAGATGACTGCCACTAAAAATTACATATTTCACGAAATTCATTCACTGGAGGAAGATTTTACCATCTCTGGTTTCTTTTAGTCCAATATGAGAGATGCTGTGTGCAATAAAAAATGTCACATTCCATCACCCAGTCCTCGAAGTTGGGACTGAAAACTTACGTCTTGGCTGGAGAGTCCAATCCACAAAGAAGAGTTATGAAGGACCGCCTGCACGGTTAGGAACGCCTGCTGGTAAGGGTGTGTGATGCTCACCAGGTGCATGTTATCTTTCTGACACTCCCTTAGAGCATCGTACCAGGTCATAGTCTTGAGGACTATTTTGTACAGATTATTTAGATACTTTACAGTTTCTGAAGTATTCTGCAAGGTCTGTCTGCCTTCAATTTCTGTGTGTAAAAGAAAAAAACCCCACAAAAACCACTCACTCTGCAAGTCGTGGGACATTTTGTTCAAATTTCTACCCATAATAATGTACTTTAGATATTACTTATATATTCATTTATTTTAGATTTTGGGTGGGAGAATGAGGTATGTCTTGCTATACACCTTAGGTAATATGTGTGAGCCACAACATTTGTTTTCTAAAATTAGAACAAAATTCTGTTTTAGTTGGTCTGCTTTAGGAAGGATAAAATCTATAAATAAAAGTGGCCTGCCATAAGATTACTATTTCAAGTTGTTGTCAAATACCTCCTTTGTTTGAATTGCTTCAAAATGAGGTGGTGTTAGGTGTTCTTTTACAAAATTTTCATCTGGGAGAGCTCCCATGAAAAGAAGTACATGGATTACCTACTTTAGGTTCTCATTATATGACAAAGTTTTTTTTTTAATCATTTGTTAAAAACTTATTTTGATCAATGAAAACAATTTAATACCTTTTTTTTTTTTTTTTGCTGAGGAAGATTCACCCTGAGCTAACATCCATTGCCAATCTTCCTCTTTTTTTTCCTCGAGGAAGATTAGCCCTGAGCTAACATCTGTGCCAATCTTCCTCTATTTTGTATCTGGGTCACCACCACAGCATGGCTGACAAGTAGGTCCACGCCTGGGATCCGAACCCATGAACCTGGGCTGCCAAAGTGGAGTGCACCAAACTTAACCACTATACCACAGGGCTGGCCCCAAATTAATACCTTTTAAAATTATCTTTTTGAAAATGATGATGATTCCTATTTTTAAGTACACATTTTATTTTTATTTGGATTACAGGAAGACATAGACAGTGATCTGTTATTAATGCTTCATATTTTTTTTTTAGTGCTAAATTTAACTGTGAATGTTTATACCAGGCTCAATTAAAAACATTAAGTTTTTTCTCCTCCTTTCCCTATGATAGAAAGTAAAATCTGAAAAATGTCAGAGTGGAAAGGAGAACAAAATTCAACCATAACTTACTATCTTAGATAACTCCTATTAACAAATGCCATCTGATACTTAATTTTGATATTTAATTATGGCAATGATATTTGAAAAAAAAAATCACATTCCGTTTGAGATAATACGACTCACTGAGCCCATATGGATTTAGCCATGCTGAAATTTTAAGGAAGCTATATGATTACAAATTAATATTAATTTGCTCATAAGATGTTTTGTGAAAAAGTACTGTACATATCAACAGCATAAAGTAGCACAGTCATCTAGATAATAATCTATACCTGGATATTTCTGACAGAGAGACAGAGTGTGGCTTTCAGTGCAGGATGTAAAATTCCATGTCCCAGTATAAGGTGACTTTTGGAAGTTGAGCATTAGAGCACAGTAGTAGTGAGAGTCTTCCTCAAACATCTAAACCCAAAAGACAAATACGTACAAATGATCATGAAATGAACAGTTTGAGGATCCTAGCAGGAGAACTTTACATTCGAAATTGGATTTTTCCCCCTGTAAAAAAATTCCATTAAGGAGCTGACCATGAAATCATTAAGAAAATCCTGATAAACTTCCAAAGCATGGGAAGAGGACAATTAACTTTAGAAATTATAAAACAAAATAGTGTCAATATTGATAAATATATCTTCAAAACAGATAAAGAAAAACTGTTAGAAATAAGACAAAAACACAATTATAGTAATATTTAACACTCTATCATTCTTGACATTTCAAGTAAGCAAAAAAAGCAATGATTATTAACTCAACTTATTAGACGTTTATAAACTTTTTATAATGGCAAACTGTGTACCACAAAATAGAGAACTCAACTCACCTGAAAGCTTTGATCCTATACTAGTCACTATAAAAACTTCCATAAATAAAAGTATCTATCTAGATTTCATACTCTGACCACAAATCAACAATACTAGACATGAAAATTTATTTGAAGTATATTGTTCCTATAGTTTCCTATATGTTTGAAACACATCACACTTAGAAAAATAAGAAAAGTAAGCTGATCCTAGGAGCTAAAAATTAAAATGCACACACACACACTACTCAATATACATTAAACTAAAAATAAAATAAAAAATTACAGGAAAGAATAATATGAGAAATATTATAAGGGCTATGAGTAAAACTTTATGTGGAGGCAAATGTGTATTATTAAATGTATTCTGTCTTTTAAAAGAAAGATGAACTAAGAATTCAATGTAGGAGATTAGGAAATCAGCAAAAATGTAACTCCAAGAAAAACAGGATAGAAAAATGTAGTGGTGTTTGTAAATATATCTCAAGCAATAGGAGTAGAGGGTGGAGAAGAGGGAGAAGAAAACCAATAGCATACACCAGTGTTTGTAAAAATCTAAATAAGAAAAAGTAAAAACAATCAAAATAAGAAATGAAGATTTAAGAAGATAATAGCATACAAAACTTTATTCTAGGGGCCGGCCCAGTGGTGCAAGCTGTTAAGTGCATGAGCTCTGCTGCAGTGGCCCTGGGTTCACTGGTTCAGATCCCGGGCGCACACCGACACACTGCTTGTTAAGCCATGCTGTGGCGGCGTCCCATATAAAGTAGAGGAAGATGGGCACAGATGTTAGCCCAGGGCCAGTCTTCCTCAGCAAAAAAAGAGGAGGATTGGCATCGGATGTTAGCTCAGGGCTGGTCTTCCTCACAAAAAACAAAACAAAACAAAACCAAAAAAAACTTTATTCTAATACATTTGAAAATCTAAATGAAATAGACAACTTTATTGAAAAATACAAATTAGCATAACTGTTATAGGGAGAAGTAGAAACACCAGGGGAGCCAGCCCTGATGGCCTAGTGGTTAAAGTGTGGTGTGCTCCGCTTTGGTAGCCTGGGTTTGGTTCCTGGGCATGGACCTACACCAGTCATCTGTCAGTGGCCATGCTATTGCAGAGGCTCATGTAGAAGAACCAGAAGGACTTATGACTAGATATACAACTATGTACTGGGGTTTTGTGGGGTAATAAAAAAGAGAGGAAGATTGGTAACAGATGTTAGCTCACGGTGAATCTTTCCCAGCAAAAAAAAAATAAAAGAAATGTACCAAGGAGTTTAGAAAAAATGGAAAATTAATAGCTCATTTTTAAAACTATGTGTCAGGTACTGTGCTAAAAGCTTTGAATGAATTGTCTTATGTAATCCTCACATCGTATTGTAGGTACAACAGTATCGGAACTTACAGATGAAAAATTGAGGCTTAAGAAAAGTTAAGCAAACTTCCAAATGCATACTGAAGGGCTAAATGGAATTTAAACTCAGACAATCTCACTCTACAGTTTAGGCCCTCAAATACTGTACCAAATCTCTTTATTATTAAAAAATGATCTTTGAAAAGAGTTCTAACATCACATGGTTTTGTGGGTAGTTCCTTTAAACTTTCAGGGAAAGATAATTTCCCAGGCTGAGTCATAGTTTCAAAACACAAAGGCAGAAAGCTACCCAGTTCATCTTAGGAAGCTGACATGATCAGAAAAAAATCTGACAATGTGGCATAAAAAATTAACTCTTATGAACAGAGATGAAAACATTCCCAAATAAAATTCTAACAATCTAATTCAGTAGAATAATAAAATAATAAGCCACTCTGAGCAACTATATTTTATGACGAGAAGATAAAGATGGCTTACTATAACAGCTATTAATGTATTATACCATATATCAATAAGCCTAATGGGAAACACTATATGACCATTTCAATAGATGCTGGAAACAAGTTTTAGAAAATCCAGTACTTATTCCTGAATAAAAATTCTAAATAAGCTAGTTACAGAATGAGATATCTTAAACAAAGAGGCAACATCATATATAACAATAAAAGATTGCAGACAGTCCCATTAAAGTCCAGATCAAGTCTAGGATGGTGTTTATTACTCCTGGTATTGACTATGGTTCTGGAAGTCCTACCATATGTACTGAAGCATGAACTGTTATTTGCAAATTACGATTACCTCATTAGGAAACCCAAGAAAACTTAGTGAAAAACTCTGGAAAGTAATAAGAGCTTTTAGTAAGATGGATGCCTATGAAATAAATATATAAAAATCCCCAAACAATGGCTTTCCTATATATCAGTAAGAAAATCAAGAAGAAGCTGCCATTCTCAATGGCAATAAGAAAGAAAACGCCTATAAAAATTTCACTGAGGGCTCTAAGGGAAGACTTGAATAAATGGAGAGATGTATTATACCATATTCTTCAATTGGAAAATTAATAAAAAGATGTCAATTCTCCCTAGAATTTTGTCAAATTCTCATCAGAAGTTTTTTATTTAATTGTTTTGGTTGGAAATTGACTAAATAATTCTAGTTTGTCTGGAAGAATGGACAAGAATAGCTAAGAATATTTTTTGAAAGGCATATAATAAAGGATAACTAATCCTATTATATTTTTTAAAATATGGCAAAGTTATAATATTTACATCAGTGTAATAGCTATATAAAAGCATATCTCATACATACACATATAAACATACACACACACACTTCATATGATAAAGGAGGCATCCTATATTGCTTTTAACAAATGAAAGTATATGTAATAAGTGATGCTAGACAATTGGCTAGGATCAGGGAAAAGGATTCAGTATTTACTGATAACATATTATACCATAGATATATCATACTGTCAGGAAAAAAAAGGCAACCTATGAAACAAAATGAAGAAAATATAGGCATACATTTAACTAACATTTACATCGTGAACTTTCTAACCTAAAAGCAATGGAGGAAAAAAAGGAAATAAACAGATTTGAACATGTACAAAAAAAAAATCGAAACTTATTTCTGTACTATTTTTGGTATTCAGACCTAAAGAAAACAATCTATGGAAATATCTGCAAGAAACACAGGGTCAGCGCATTTAATATTTACACAGCCATAAAATCAATAAGGGATACATGAAGGCTTTGATAAATTGGAAAAGAATAAGAACAGTCACACTTGATGAAATTCATATTATTATTGAATTTATAGAGGTTTATTTTCACTAGAAATCAGAGAAATATAAATGAAAATATGATATCATTTAAACTACCAAATTAGCAAGAATTTTTAAAAGATAATGCACTTGGAGGCAATGGAGCAGAGCAGCTAAGAATGCTGGCTCTGCAGACCCTTGGACCTGGATTTAAATGCCTACTCTGCACACATAGGCTGTATGACTGCTGGCAAGTTACATGACTCTGTCTGTCTCCACATTCTTAAGATAGAGGAGGAGTAACAGACCCTTTTACATCTTTTGTGCAGATTAAATGAAATAATGCATGTGATGCATTAGCAGACTGCTTGACACATATTAGCTGTTCAACAAATGTTAGAAATTATTAATATACTAGTCTGGATAGAAGGGCAACCACAATATATTGCTGACAAAAACATAAATTCATAAACTTTTCTGGAAAGCAATTTGGTAACCAGAGCAATTTGGTAACCAGAGCTTTATAACTACTTGTATCTTCTGATCTGGCTATATGACTTCCAAAATCTATCTTAAGGAGGTAACTTGAAGTATAAGCAAAGATTATGCACAGAGATGTTCACTGCAGCTCTATTTAGGATTATGCCAAACTGGAAATAACCTAAATAACCAGCATTGTTTAGGTAAATGATGATGTATCTATTAAGAAATATTGTGCAACCATTACAATGCTTATCAAGTACATCTTTTAAAGGCATAAGAAACTACTTATGATATAAAACTAAGAAAAGTATGGGCCAGCTCCGTGGCTTAGTGGTTAAGTGCGTGTGCTCTGCTACTGGCGGCCCAGGTTCGGATCCTGGGTGCGCACCAATGCACCACTTCTCTGGCCATGCTGAGGCCGCGTCCCACATACAGCAACTAGAAGGATGTGCAACTATGACATACAACTATCTACTGGGGCTTTGGGGGAAAAAAAAAGGAGGATTGGCAATAGATGTTAGCTCACAGCCGGTCTTCCTCAGCAAAAAGAGGAGGATTAGCATGGATGTTAGCTCAGGGCTGATCTTCACAAAACAAAAACAAAAACAAAAAACAACTAAGAAAAGTAGAACACAATAGTGTACATATACTATGATCTTATCTATGTCAAGAAAACAGTGTATAGAAAAGCCCTAGAAGAAAAAATGCTGAAATACTCATTGTGATTTCCTAGATCGGGGTTCAAATATGGTTTGAGCTATCATTTAGCAGGTCATGAAATGAATTCAGTGGGTCCTGACTCACATTTGTGATAATGAAACGGATAGGATAGGATACAGAGACTAGACTAGACTAGACTAGACCAGAGTGGAATAGAATAGAGAGAACTATCTTATGCATAAGCTCTAAGGGTAAGTACTGTTTCCTGAAACTTTGGTTTCAATTCAATACTATATTTGTACCTATGTGCTGGATGGTTATTTAAATGTATTTCTTACTATGGGTTATGGTTAAAAGTTTAAAAGCTACCAGCCTAAATATAAGTGGGATAAGAGTTGATATTTTTCTTTACTGTATATACTCTCTACAACTTCCAACTTTTCTATAATATCCAAGCATTATTTTGATATTTACTTTGTTGTTAGTGCCATGGAATCGATTCAGACTCCTAGCGACCCTGTGTACAGCAGAGTGGAACCCTGCTGTAAGCACACATTCCATAGTTTTTAGTATATTCACAGAGTTGTCCAACCATCATTCCCAATTTTTTGTCATCCTTTCATCTTCTGGCGCTGTATCAGACAATGCTCTGCTGCTATGCGAAGGGTTTTCATGGCCAATTTTTTCAGAAGTGGGTGGCCAGGTCCTTCTTCCTAGTCTGTCTTAGTCTGGAAGCTCCTCTGTCTGTCTGCTATGGTCCACCATGGGTGACCCTGCTGGTATGTGAAATACCGGTGGCATAGCTTTCAGCATCACAGCAACAAGTAGCTGCCACATTATGACAACCGACAGATGGGTAGTGTGGTTCCCTGACAGCAATGAGCCCGGGCTGTGGCAGTGAAAGCACCTAATCTTAACTACTAGACCACCAGGGCTGACCATTTACTTTGTACGTAATTACATATGATTCAGAATTCCCTTTGCCACCAATGTCAACCTTGAACAAAGTTACATTGCATCAGGAACATCAGTTGATTATTGTCTAGGAAATATTTTTGGAATTTGGCTTTAAAGTTAATTGCTTAATCTCTGCCCTTTGTGCAAAACGTGGTTTGTATCTAGTAAATAGGGAGGACAGAGCAGTGGGCAGCAGTATCATGGTATAGGATAGTTATTGTTAATGTGACGCCTTCTTCCCTTCTATAGCTTCTTTATATTTAGCTCTTAGGGAAAAATGATCACTAATCACCAATTTTGTACTTTTTGCCTCAGGAGACTGAGGCTGACAGCCCCAAATCCCAAAATGTCAAGTAAAGCCTTTATATTTGCTTCTATTTGCAACGCACTACTTGATGGTTTTACGTGGTTGTGAAATAAGTGCTATGGAATCTGATGCTACTGTGAAAACTAGGGCACCTACCTGCAGGCTGGGGAAGCCCCTGTGCTTACTGTTCTTCTTCCTGTCACAGCTTTACTGAGATATAACTCATATGTGACAGAACTCACCCATTTAAAGCATACATGCCACAGTTTTTTTTTTTTGTTTTTTTTTGTGAGGAGGACCAGCCCTGAGCTAACATCCAATGCCAATCCTCCTCTTTTTTTTTTTGCTGAGGAAGACTGGCCCTGGGCTAACATCCATGCCCATCTTCCTCTACTTTATATGGGATGCTGCCACAGCATGGCCTAACAAGCGGTGCGTCAGGGCGCACCCGGGATCCGAACTGGCGAACCCCGGGCCGCCGCAGCGGAACGTGTGCAGTTAACCGCCTGCGCCACCGGGCTGGCCCCCATGCCACAGTTTTTAGTTTGTTCACGGAGTTGTGCAACCATCACTCCCAATCAATTTTGGGACATTTTCACTTCTCCAAAAAGAAACCCCAACAAAATAAATAAAAAAAAACCAACAAAACAAAACAAAAAGAAACTCCATACCATTTAGCCATCACCCCCAATCCTTCCATTCTCCTTGGCCTTTGGCAACCACTAATCAACTTTTTATCTCTATAGATTTGCCTATTCTGGATGTTTCACATAAATGGACTCATAAAATAGGCCCTTGTTCTTAATCAAATAATTTATGGACAACTCGGGTATTTCATAGAGCTACATAGATTACTGATTCAAGAAAACTTACAGTTGTTGGTATTCTCAGCCTCCGACCAACCAGTAATGGGTGAAAGTTACCGTATGTCAGTTCTCTGTTATCCGTCCATTTGCTCTTCCTTTCATGGGCAGTCCAGCGCAAACCAATCCATAAAGTATCTTCCATACCCGGAAGCAAGGATGTAATAAAATCTGTTGGAAAGAGATTTTTTAAAAAAGCATTTGACTTATTCAAATTAAAGATATACTAAAAATGTCAATGAATACATCTTGCTTATCTAACTACCAGAATAGTCTTTTACCTACTCCGTAAAAAAGTAGTTTAATAATATTATTTTTACATGTTAATTCCCCACAGCCTCCCCAAACTAACTTGGCCCCAAATCAGAATAAAACATGTTTCCAAAACAATTCCGCTACCTTGTTCTCTCTGGCTCAACACTGAAGGAAGGGTGCCACCATAGGAGTGACAGACATCGCTCGCTTGAGAAAATGGGAGAGACTTGGGTTTTTTGAGCTTTAGAAAACACTGCAAACAAAGAACATATATGAAGCATAAGATTTTAGACATGGGAAAGCTCAGATAAGAAGTAAATGCCTCATCTTTTAGAGGGCTGCTAATTTTCGGTCTGTGAGATATGGAAATTTACAAAGTAGTATCATAAGAATGCAGATCCATACTCTCAATTTAAACAATTGAAGAGTCATCTTCAAACTTTTTTTTTAAGCCTCCCATTTATTGAGCGCTTTCTATGTGCTGAACAGTTTGCATAGTATTATCTCATTTAATTCTCACAATAAATGGGAAAATTGAGGCAAAGGGAAGTTAAGTAACTTTACCCATAAGTAAAATAGCCATACAATGGTATGGCTAGCATTTAGACTATGTTCCATCCGATTTCAAAGTCTGTACTCTTAATCATCACCTCCTTATATAAAAAACCACATTTTTAAAGAAATCCTTCCTTTGTCTCTTGGCAGGATATTTTAATTCAAATTTACCTCAACTATGTAAATTACTTTGGTCCCAGTACCTTGGGGAAAAAAGATAGTTTTAATTTTAAAAAGTCAAAATATACCCCTAATATTTTAACTTTACTATAGATGCTTTCAGCTGTCAGACACATCCCTGCCTTTTTCTTTTCGATATTATGATCATGTTAGTGTGGAGTGGTATATCCCAAATTGTGTTTCTTGAAACATTGTATAAAATATTTTTTTTCAGACTGAAGTGGCCAATGAAATATGTCATTGGGTGGCTTCTAGAAAAGATTCTAGAGAGAACACTCTGAATTTGAGCTTGAAAGCTGTATCTTAAAAATGGCACAAGAGAAAGACAAAAGGAGCCTGGTTTCAAAGACTTCATGGAGCTTCCACACCAACCCCAACCTGCTTACTTTCAAACTTCTTTTATGTGACAGAACAAGCGTTTTAACATACTGTAGTAATCTCTCTTTTTAGCAGCCACATGCATTTCCTAAGAGATACATATCCCGCTATGGATTGTGCATCTCAAAGAGGCAGATATAGAATGCAGCATTTCCCAAACCTATTTAATCATAAACCCCTCTTTGGAGGCAAGATCAATGATTAACACTTTGTTAGCATATGTGTAGTTCCCAAAAAGTCGTTTGGGAAATGCTGGTCTAATTTGATTGGTAGATGCTGCTTGGTTGTTTTCTTTCAGGGGGAACATTTATCAGGCAGAAATTAAGTCAGTTTCCTACATGCCATAGAGACAGTCCTGACTATTCAATGTATTACTATCCATTGACAGATCAACTTCAGCAATTTAAGTGTTAGTAGCAACAGAATAGGAACACAGTACTTTGAAAGATCTGTAGGCATGACTAACTTGAAAGTTAACTTGGTTTCTGACAATGTTGAGAATCAGGTGAGATGCTGAAATATGCAGAGGCTATCTTAGTGAAGTTATTTGGTGGGTTGCCATTCTGCCACAGGGTATACAACCATCATAAAAGCAATCATCATTTGCATAACATAGCAATTCTCTTTTTACCTTATTCTGAAAAGGAATCCAATCCTCAGAGCATTGTATTTTAGCTGCAGAATCTGGACTATATTTCTCTAATGAAGATACATTATATTTTTCACAGATGAAGGGCAACTTGATACTACAGTCTGCTGGTTTATTGAAGTCTGAGAAATGAAAAACAGGATTACTCTGGTGAGAATTTACCATTTAGCACATTTTTAAAACAATCCAGTAGCAAAGAAAATCTCTTTAAATTGGTCTTTCCCAAATGGTTAAAATATATTCCTTTTCTTCCCTAGCCATTTTTTTTCTTCTCTAGCCATTTTTGTCTTCTAATATTATTCATATCAGTAGGTTATAACATACCAAAATTGCCTATAAAAATGCACACATTTGGTATACCGACCACAGTTACCACAGTTCCTGATGGCAGGAAATAGGAAGAGAGTTGAAGGAGAAGGCTAATGAGGAGGAAAAGGACCTAAACTATATTTTAGAACTCTGCCTGTTCATCTTTTGCAAATTTGTCTATATGCTTATCAGTTATGAAAGTAGTAAGTTTATTTCTTAATTTTAGAATAAAGGAAGTCAAAATATTCACAATGAAAAGAACCTTTATTTACATCTGGAATTTGAGCTATTGTCATTAGCAATAATCAGAATAAGAGAGAGCTACCAAACATATAATCAAAAGGAAAACAGGATTGAGCTAGTAATTGAGCCCGAAGCTCAAGTATTACATAATCAACATTAAAAGATTTGGAATTAACTTTACCATGAAACCAGGTCCTGGCAGACAAGTAAAAGCATTCCTCTCCAAATGTTATAGGGAAGTGACGCCATGGACGTCGTGAGCTGAAAGAAAATGAGAGATTCGACAACTTATAATGTACTTACGTGTACCAGTCTATTTTTTACTGTAAGTAATCTTAATTCTAAATTTAATGTCATGCCATTATTTTATACCACTTTTTTCTGGACGCTAACATGCAAAAGAACTTGTTTTCTCTACTGTAGGCAGTTTATGGAGTAATGTTCAAAACTAATTATAAATAGAAATCTGTTTAGTAAAAGGGAATTAGGGACTGCTTCTTTTGTATGGTAACTTTACAAAGGCAGTGTTGATGATGTCACCTACAATAAAAAATGGCGATCTAGGGCCTGCTCGGTAGTTCTCACCCACCACTTCTGTTCATCATCAGATATCTGAAAAACAAACCAAACACCTATTCTTATATGTGCTGAGTTTTCTAGAACAGTTTTGATTTAAATACCCTGTCCCATCATAACCACAAACCACTAAAATTTCCAGACATTCCACTGCTTTGAAAACTCTTTGTATATTCACAGGCCCTATTTTGTATACAGAAAAGTATGGTCACTTTAATTATGGGTATACATTAATTGGACATACAGTGTACAATTGCAACTAATTATAAATTTTAAAATATACAAATTATTTTTCCTCCAAAAAGCTATTTTGCAAAGTCAGATATTAGTAGAAACAGAAACTCAAGTTAATTACAAAGTTAACTCTTAGTAAAAAATATGACAAGGAATTAAAATGATTTATATTATCTATTGATGCTCATCTTATAAATTGACATTTGTAATTAATCTTGAACATTCTAAAATATTAAGCAATTCTACTTAACTTTTCTAACATGAAATGATGAATTTGGATGTTGGCAAGCAAATTTTACTTTAGAGGACCATTTAACTTTTGTAGATTTTTGGAATATTTTTAATGGAATAAATATAAGAAAAATATTTAAAAATATATTCTTTTAAATTACATTTGCTATTTTGTTTTTGACGGCTTTTAGTCCTGCAAAAGATGTTATACTAGCCAGAGAGCTGTGATTGCTAGCACAATACAGGACGGCTTCTTCATAGTTTAAGTGAGGATCAGCAACAAACCAATATTCACTCCCTTCTACTATAACTGGAGGTCCATGAATTCCAGCACGGTCTAAAGAAGAAGAAGATCAGAGTTATGACTGTGCAAACTAAACTGTACCCTCTAAGTATGGATTAATGTTCAAAATTATTTATAAATAGTAATTTAGTAATAGTATTAGTAATAGTAATAGTAATCCATTTAGATTACTGGCTTTCTCTGGTCAGGGCAGTGCTGCTTGGAAGAAACCAAGGATTCCTGGGCCAGTGAGTGCCTCTGCCATCCTCCTGAACTCATAGAGAAGGACAAATCCAGCCTCATAGCCTCATCCCAAACCAGCCAATCACCTTCCCTGCCTGGAGATATTTCATCTCATTTGAAGATGTGATAGAGAGGAAGCTGGCACTTAGGTCTGGGCTTAAATAATTAACTAAATACATTATTAAAAAAGTAAAAGCAGCTTTGGCTAAGTTTCAGTTCTCTTAACTCACCTGGATTGTACCAGTCTGGTGTTTTTGGAGTACGGCCTGTATAAGGAAGACAACAAGTGGCTTAAGTTTAGTATCCAATTACAGAGCGTGGCATACCATAAGTAGGGCTTTTATGTAACTCAAAAGGACTTGCAATATTGCTGAAGTTTGTCCATTTCCCGCCAAACTATTTCCTTTCATGTTACGATTGCTTCAACTTGAATTTCGTGGGGCCTATGCTTAAAGTTGTTGTAGTGGCAATCAAAGAGGCAGATCTGGGGCCGGTCAGGTGACGGAGCGGTTAATTTTGCATGCTCTGCTTCGGCAGCCTGGGGTTTGCAGGTTTGGATCCCGGGCACGGACCCACGCACCACTCATCAAGCCATGCTGTGGCAGGCATCCCACACATAAAGTAGAGGAAGATAGGCACAGATGTTAGCTCAGGGCCAATCTTCCTCTGCAAAAAGAGGTGGATGTTAGCTCAGGGCTAATCTTCCTCATCAAAAAAAAAAGGAAGATCTGTTAAATAATAATAACGTATTACTAACAGTTCTCTACCTGTATCATGGAAATCACAAAGGAAGACTAGATGGATAAAATATAGCTAATAATTAGAAAGTACAAATAAGTAAATGATGATATTGTATATATTACATTGAAGCACTAAGAATATGCATTAAGATTATCATCATTGTAGGATGAGGTTATTCAGGTATCACTTCTCCATCTAACATTCTGGAATTTGAGTAATTATTCTGTAAACCTGGGTTGAGAGTTTATTGTGTCCCAGGATATCCTTAGAAACAATGTACAACAATCCAGTACTAAACCTTTTGAGGTGAGAGACAAAACTAAGAAAAAAATAATAAAAATCACCCAAGATTCCTGGATGAGAACAGAGGAAATATGGTGCTTACGAAGAATTGTGGGCTTTGAAGTTGACGGGTCAGAGCTCCAATGTCCTCAGACACTCCGCTGCCGTGCTACTTTGAATCAGTTGCTTAATTCCCTGAGCCTCAACTTTCTACTCTATAAAAACAAGACTCTACTACCTGACTCACAAAGACAGTGTGAAGATCAGGTAAGATCCCCCTTGTGGAGGCACCCGGCACAGTTCCAGGCACAGAGCAGTTCTTCCCAGGATGCTAGCTGCTTTCCTCTTCCTTTTCATTCTGGGCCGTAGGTCACACTGGTTTCAAGTCAAAAATGTAATTTGATGAATCTTAGAAATTACAGGGTAAAATAGCTGATTCTTAATTTTGCTCTTGTATGGGGCCTAATGCATGGGAAGACCCTACTCGGAAGATTGCCTATATATCGAGCATCTTTGGTTTCTCTAAGTCAGTTCTTTGCATATTGGACACTTTCCATCAAGAATGCTGCAGATCAGTTAAAAATATACATAGTTTCTTGTCTGTAATCTTGTCAAAGACTTCTGTTCATTTGTGTGTTGGAGGAAGCTATGTCTAACTTTTAAATTTCTTTAAATTAGTGAGAGAAGCAGAATGCAAGGTGTTTTTTGCACAAGATTACACATACGTATGTGTGTACAAGGTACCAAGAAATATAATATAAAAAAGGTTGTGTTTGGGTAGTGGCATTATAGATAATTTTCCTAAAAACATTCTTATGAGCCTTACTATATTTTGTTTTTGTGAGAAGATCAGCCCTGTGCTAACATCTGCCAATCCTCCTCTTTTTTTGCTGAGGAAGACTGGCCCTGGGCTAACATCCGTGCCCATCTTCCTCCACTTTATATGGGACGCCGCCACAGCATGGCTTGCCAAACAGTGCATTGGTGCGCGCCTGGGATCCGAACCGGCGCACCCCGGGCCGCCGCAGCGGAGTGCTCGCACTTAACTGCTTTCGCCACCAGGCCGGCCCCATGAGCCTTATTTTTGATATTGTTTTCTAATTAAAAGAAAGAATACAGTCATGTATCACTTAACAATGAGGATATGTCTGAAGAAATGTGTCATTAGGCGATTTCCTCGTGCGAACATCATAGAGTGTACTTACACAAACCTACAAGGTATAGCCTTCTACACACCTAGGCTAACTGGTACTAATCTCATGGGACCAGAGTGGTTTATGCAGTCCATTGTTGACTGAAGCACTGTTATGCATCGCATGACTGTATTTAAAAAGTATATATATCCATATGGTTATGGCTATTTAAAATTTTTTAGGTTGCCAGAATATCCCTTTTTTTCTCGGTTGCCAGAATATCCCTTTTTTTTTTTATGTTTTTTTTTTTAATTTTATTTATTTATTTTTGTTCCCCCAAAGCCCCAGTAGATAGTTGTACATCATAGTTGCACATCCTTCTAGTTGCTGTATGTGGGACGCGGCCTCAGCATGGCCAGAGAAACGGCGCGTTCGTGCACGCCCGGGTTCCGAACCTGGGCTGCCAGCAGTGGAGTGCGTGCACTTAACTGCTAAGCCATGGGGCCGGCCCCAGAAGATCCCTTTCTAATTAGAAAGGGATTAGAACCAGCTGGATCAGGTAATAAAAAAGTCAAGAGGTAGAGAAAAAGTATGATGATTTAGGCTATCCAAGAGGTAAACTGCTTTATGAAAACCCAAAAATATAGATTAAGCAGACTTTGGCTGCTCTAATAACCAAGAAAATATCCAACCAGGTGAATGTGACACATTCCCACTTAGAAATTTAGGGACTGTCAAAGGAGAGTTAACATAACGTTTAAACTCTGGATCAAGCAATCATTGATTGCTTCAAATGATTGTGAATAGGCTGAGACAGAAAGTTCTCTAGTTTTTAATTTTGTTTCTGCATGGGGACAGCGGAGATGCAATTATTTAGAAGATTTATTTGGTTAATTGATTTATGTTTGCTAAGTTAGTTAATTCCCTTCTCTTTTGTTTAAAATAAAAATATATAAAAAAGAAAAAAGGAAACCACATGCTCTTTGTAATATTTCCCGTGGTTACTGGTTTGTCCTTTCTAAGGTCACCCTGGTGTAAACTCTTGGATCTGTCCCACCACTCAAACAGGAGGTGGGGTGGGGGGTGGGGGTAGCAGCTTACTAGTACAGGCATTACTGGAGGGAGCAGTGACACTCTCTGTGGCATGCTAGCAAATGCCCAAGACTAATGGGAGCGTCACCAGTAATGCTTCAAACCAGAGACATTGTCCAAATTAACTACATATGTTAGTTACTTTTCCACCTATCTAAAGGGTATACAAACTGGTTTTCCTTTGTCCATCCTTCAGGTTTTATCAAATAATCAGGAATAACTCAGGTATAATTTCTCCTTTGGAAAACCCCATCAACACACATACACACATGTGCGCGCACACACACACACACAATTCCCCTTTTATTAACGGCCTGCCAGTTTCCCTTGTGCAAAAGACTTGCCAGTTACTGTACCAGATGTCACGCTGAAGCTCTTTTAAAGGCCTTTTTTTAAGGAAAAAGAACAATTAGAAGAACTACCTTTTAAGAGGTAGTTCCATGATGTAACCTTTAGGTTCTTTGAGAACTTGTAGGAGGATATACCTTTACTTTCAATGATCTGTTATACATTCAGTTCAGAAATTCATTTTAGAGCTTTCTGTGCATTTTCCACTAATTAATTTAATGTATTCAATAAAAATTATTAAAAAAGAATTTTGGAGTTAAAAATTTTAACATTTTCCTTACTATTTCTTTAACATTTTCCTAGTAAAAAGATATCTATTTATTCTCCTTTCTCTCCTTTTTGTCACCAAAGCCTCTACTATCAAGCTAACTGGTTTCCTGAATTTGAATTTGAATTCCATAAACTATTAGCTGTTTTGGAGTTCACTGAAAATTGCTTCTACATTTTACAGGGACCTGCCCAATTTTAATTTTTTGACTCTTGTCACATGCTTCCCAAGCTTATCTTCATTTTATCCTTCATTTTGCATCAATATAAAAATTAAAATGATTCCCTCTGCTACGCGTCTTCTTTTACTTGAAATGATCTTTCATTCCAAAATCGAATCTCTCTAAACTAGCCTTAAATTTTATCCTCTACACAAATTCTTTCATGATCAAACAGGAAGGTATCATCTTATTTCAATAATCCAGCCTTCTAGTAGGGGTAGGAATCAGGCAGGATGAAGCTTAATATGTTAACTGCATCTTCACAGGCTTTTTAAAATTATAATTATAGACTAAAATGCTTTCTCAGGTACTTCTGGTTCAGCATTCACAATGTTCACATGAGAAGACTGTGAAAAGGAGTAACTACCACTTACCTTTTGGAATCTGGCACAGCCATTCAAGTTTTGTATCACAAGCAAAAGGCCTTAAATACATAAATTCTCTGTCATCATAGAAATACCAGCTTCTTCGCCATGGCCTGTGAACCACCTAGGGAAGGAAAAGGATTGCAGAATATTTTGATGTTGATGCAGCCTTTATAACACACTAAACTTTAAGCCCTATGGTCTTTAACTCTATTTTAGCTGTAGCACCTAAGATATTTGTTTAATGAATGAACACATGAATAAATGCAGCGTTTAAACAGGAACAGCCTAAGCAAGAGCCTTCAAAGGGCTGATAGAGGAAATACATATAAGGCCATGTTTATGTCCAAATGCAAATTATTGGGTTTGTTTCTGTTTTTGTTGATATGAAATAATAGAATCTTGCAACTTTAAATTTGGGAAAGATCAAGCTAGAAAAGAATATGTACTTCAGTGGTTTCCAAACACCAGGCTGTTATTAAAGCAGATCTATGAAAAAGTGATATAGGAGTCTAGCTTCAGGGACCCAGGCTCCTTCTTTGGTGTTGCTCTGCACTGTCAGGATGTTATCCTCCTCCACATGGTCCAAGATGGCTCTCTACAAATTCCAACCAGCAAGCAGGAAAGAAAGGAAAGGGGAGGGCACGGCCTGGGAGGAGCATCCATCACTTTTTGGGCTGTTTTCTCTTAAGGCCAAGATTCTGGTGTACTGTGGCAGGTGAGGTAAGATTCTCCTTGCAGATCACTGCCCTGGCTGACCTTGTTCCTTTTGCAGGCTGCATCAATGTCTCCTTTATTTAGTTTTTTGATAGATTTTCAAATCTCTTCACACATGGAGACTCTATTTACATAGAACATAGTTTATTGCATCAATGTTCTGGAAACTTCACAAGCTTCCTTGAAGTTTTCACCTTTTCCTGGGTTAAACTGGGAATTCTACAAAAATGGCATGATACTACACAGTTTATTACTAGAGCAACTACTTTGTAAATAGTGCTTTCCAATTGCCTTCTCAGTTCTTTGTCTCAACCTTCCTGTAACATTTCTGGTCAATCACCTGCTTGAATCTCTTTCTTGGACTTACATAGTAAAGGTATTATCTAGATGTCTCTTCCTTCCTCATCTTCTTAAATTTTGCAGTTGGTGATTCCCCCAAATCTACTTATTGGCCTCTTGCACTTTTTTTAATATACATTTTTCATTCAACTCCAGTCTCTTGATTTCAACTTACTATAGGATATTTCCTACTGCTAGCTTAGATTCAAAATATCTAAACCAAAATGTACTATTTTCGGGCCGGTGCCGTGGCTTAGCAGTTAAGTGCGCGAGCTCCGCTGCTGGCCGCCAGGGGTTCGGATCCGGGGCACGCACCGACGCACCGCTTCTCCGGCCATGCTGAGGCTGCGTCCCACATACAGCAACTAGAAGGATGTGCAGCTATGACATAAAACTATCTACTGGGGCTTTGGGGGGAAAAAATTAATTAAAAAAAATGTACTATTTTCTCCATAAACCAGTACCACTTTTTGACTATTTCTATAAATACCTAGTCATATGGCATAGTGGAGCCAGATGCTGGTTTAAATTTCAGTTCTATAACCACGTAAGTTACTCAGAGCTCAAATTTCTTCCTCATAAGATGAATATAGTAACAGAACCTACTTCAAGCTTGTTTAAGTATTAAGTGAATGACATATGTGACACACCTAGCACTGTGCCTAGCTCATGAGTCAACAAGTGTTAGCTGCTGCTGCTGCTATCATCATGATCACCACCATCACCATCATTGTTACTCTCCCATAACACTCTTGTTCTTGCATGAAACTTATACTTCATGTGCCACAGCCCTTCTAATTGCGTGCTTACTTGTCTTTATCTCCTACTGGACTGTAAGTTCTATGAAGACAACACCTGTTTTATACCTTGTCATTGTTGTATCACCCAGAGTGTCACTGCTTGGACATACTACTTACAGAATGAATAAACAAATGAATTCTGCAAAGGAAGATGCCTGACTGGTCTTTTATGTCTTCCAGTCCTATCTGTTGCATCTTGAAATCTGTCTCAAGATGAATCTTCTCATACCCTCCTTAGTTCATGTGAATAACCTTTAATAATGCTCTGTTGCCTACCAAAAAATGTACCAACTCCTTAAACCTGGCATCGATCTAATTTCCCAACTTTGTTTTCAACCACAGTGCCAATTAAAACCTCTTGATCTATATTCTGTTCTCACTGCCGTATCCTCTCCCTTCCACTCCCAATCATTTTATGTTACCTCCCCTCTCCATTCCCCATTAGAAAGCCTTACCCTATCCTACCTGTACAAACTCTATCCATCCTTAAAGGTCCAACTCAAGTCCCACCTCCTTCTAGAAATATTCACAGGAATCACTTCCTCTTCTGAGTTTCATTAGCCCTCTTCAGCCCACTCATTTAGAGTTTATTACTATATAGTAATAAGGGCCATCTTTCTCAAATATGAATTTTATCTTCTCAAATTAAGTGTCAGTTAGGTTGTTTGAGGGCCAGGCCATGGGTGTACTTCTTACCTCCCTTGTACTTAATATCATGCTCCACACACAAAGGTACTCCGTGGATCCCTCACCTGACTGTACACAATGCCAGATTTATTTTTTAAATATGCAGATTTTCCAGCATTGTACTGACCTTGACAGCAGCACAGTCTCTGATATCATAATCCTGCTGAAACTCATTTTCCATGATCATAGTAGATACCTTAAAAGACAAGAGATGCTTAAGAATTTAAGACTAATGTATAAATATTTGCAATTTAGATGTAATTTAGGCAGCTTTAATAACTCAAGTGCATTCATATGCCATGAAAGGAAAACTTTTTCATCTTTTTTTATATCAGGATGCTAAATATCATGAGAGGACTTAGAAAATGTCATAATGTCATCAGTTTCCAAAAAAGGAAGCTATAGTTTCAGGAGTGGAGGTTAACAGTGTATTAAGTTCCCAGTTGGAGTCACAGAGAATCAGGAGCTTGAAAAAGACATTTTTTTTTTTTTGCATGTGTTGAAAAGCTAGCTACTCAATTAACTATTCTCAGATATGCTCCAATTTGAAAATGAAAGTCAAGTCATTTAGAAAGAATGCATAGTGAACTGACACAAGGGTAATGTGGAGCAAATATTTAATATTTGAGAATAATTTGCTCCCATAAGTGTTACTTAAAACCTCTCTTTAGGATAATGTAAACATTTGAAATAATTTTTAGGGACTTTTTAATGTTAACCCAAACAAATTATTTCCCCCAATAAAGATACTTTCTTTTTTACATAACTCTTACATTTTTAGATAATAAAATAAAAGCTTCTCATTATGAAAAAAAGGAAAAAATACAAAGAAAAAGAAAAACAAAAAATCACTTGTACTACCCAAAGATGACCACTATATCCATATATTTACACTTTTATATTTTTGAACTATTTATAGAGAGACTATATGTACAGTCATAAATTTAAATAAAAATGAGATTAGTAACTTGTTTTTTCCCCACTTCATATAGGTGAATCTATTTCCATTTCAATAAAGATACATCTACATAATTTTAATGGTTATATGGTATGTGCATGTATTATTTAACAATCAACTTACCTGTTGTTGAAACAAATATTCTTTCCATATTACCCCAAACAAGAAAGTTTAAACTTACTGGTGTCCGATCACTCCATTGCCAGGATCCTTGTAAATCAGGGCTCCTTTTATTCAAACCTATCCACAGCCAACGCTGGCCACTAGGTGAAAAGGAGGCAAAAAAAAAAAAAAGCATTTCGCAGATATATTTAGCATTTACGTGTTTAAAATACTTAAGACATGTAAGTTTATTCAGAAGACCTTGTCACTCACTGAAAAGCACAGTTCCAAGCTATATAAAAAAGTCTTATGAAATGAAACTAAACCCTAAATGTGGGGTAGCTACTGAAAAAGTACCATATTTTTTGAAACTAAATTTTAAGTTATTTTATTCATATAAAAGGCAAAAACTATTCTGTTTTGAACTTAAGAGGAAAAAAATGTGTATGATTATTCCAAACTTACTGCAGAGCTTCAATATTAGACAGATACAGTCAAATGCAACAATGGCATTTCCTTAAAGCATTTGTCCTTAACACTATCAAATATCTTTTCTTTTTTTTTTTTTTTTCTTGATGAATTACATTGATTTTATTTTTTTTAATTTTTTGTTTATTGCAGTAACATTGGTTCATAACATTGTAAAAATTTCAGGTGTACATCGTTGTACTTCTATTTCTGCATAGATTACATCATGTTCACCACCAAAATACTAATTACAACCCATCACCACACACATGTACCGAATTATCCCTTTCACCCTCCTCCCTCCCCCCTTCCCCTCTGGTAACCACCAATCCAATCTCTGTCCGTATGTGTTTGTTTATTGTTGTTATTATCTACTACTTAATGAAGGAAATCATACGGTATTTGACCTTCTCCCTCTGACTTATTTCACTTTGCATTATACCCTCAATGTCCATCCATGTTGTCACAAATGGCTGGATTTCATCGTTTCTTATGGCTGAGCAGTATTCCATTGTGTATATATACCACAATGAGATATCACCTCACGCCCGTCAGAATGGCTATAATTAACAAGACAGGAAACAACATGTGTTGCAGAGGATGTGGAGAGAAGGGAACTCTCATACACTGCTGGTGGGAATGCAAACTGGTGCAGCCACTATGGAAAACAGTATGGAGATTTCTCAAAAAATCAAGGATAGAACTACCATATGATCCAGCTATTCCACTGTTGGGTATTTATCCAAAGAACTTGAAAACACCAATTTGCAAAGGTACATGCACCCCTGTGTTCATTGCAGCGTTATTCACAATAGCCAAGACTTGGAAGCAACCTAAGTGCCCATCAAGGGACGAATGGATAAAGAAGATGTGGTATATCAAATATCTTTTCTTTAAAATGCAGAACAAACGATTTGGCTAAATTTTTATCAAACGAGATTTAAAACAGGAATTTAATTTCCACTACCCATTAAGTTTAAAGTAAAGAGGTATTGAAGTTTTTTCTAAATGCCAAACTCCATGGGTTATACCAGACCAACATAATTAAGTGATCACTTAAGTGAATATATTTAACACTCATAACTATTATACTTTTATGTACAAGGCATTGAGTTAGGTGCAGTGGTGACACAAAGTACAAGACCTGAAATCCATCCTCAAATGGCATATAACCTAGCCCGGAGGACAAGGTACATATGAACAAAGAAAATATAAGACCATTTTTGAAAGACATCAAATTTGTTATGTTTGTGCTATAAAAGTTCAGAAAAAGGAGAGGTCATTGTGGGCTGCAGGGAGTCAGGAAACATTCTGTGAGGTTGGTAGGACAAAAGGCAGTCTTCGAAGGACGGCTAACTTCTTTCGAGCCATAATCTGAGTTTACCACGTGTTCAGACTGGCTGAGATGAGAAAGCTTAGGTATTTCAAGGAAGAATACACACAACAACATATAGAGGCAGGGACATTCATTGTAACTGATCTTTTCTCCTCAAACTTATGCTCTAGCCAGGGAGACATTTCCAGTCTAAATAGAAGTGATATAATCATTAAAAAATTTCTCCACCTCTAACCCCACTTGAAAATATTCTCTAAAATGTATTATACTTTTTAGGCCTTAATAGCTAGACCACTTCCCATATAATTTAACCTTCTGATGGCATGTGGTATATATCAGTACATATGAGTGTATATTATATATGCATATATAACACATATATAAATGTTATATGCATATAAATATAATACATATTAGAGAAAGGGTGGGAGCCAAGTCTAAAATCAATCCCTACTCTCAAGCTCAGTAGAATATATGGCATACAGGAATGTATAGCTACAAGACTACTGTGAAATATAATAAGTCTGCATTTAAAAAATTTGCTAGTAAATCAAGGGCTAGAGCAAACTTAATTTTAAATTAATTTCTCACCTTTTAATAAAATAATTGCTTTTCTTTATCTCTTTCCTTTGTTCAACATTCCTTCATATTTTAATACCAATAAGCACTTTTTCATCTTTTCAACCTCAAGCTTTTCAACTTATTGCAATGGAATATGAGGACTGTCTCCTTTTAGTTTTTACTATTATCCTGTTTTCTTTCATAAAGAAAGATCAGCAATTTGTAGACTTAAGATAAATCCAGTGGAGACAATTAAATCCAGTTTGAATTTAGCAGCTATAAGAGAAATTTGCAGTTTGCATCTTCAACTAATCAGAGCTCTCTTACAGGCTTCCAAATTTATCATACTCACCAATTGTTGGATTTCTAAACCACAGGGTCTAGATAATTGCCATATACACTATAATTAAAGTCAGATGGCTAAAACAAAGAGGAGGTTAAGTTTGCTACCTAATACTTACTTGGGGATATAACTTCATTTCTTTCAAATCTTCTCACATTATATATTTGGACCTGGGGAATTTGTACAGAATTTTGTGTTTCCCTAAAGCAAGCATTAGATATTTGATCTTTTTTACACAATCTTCAGTACAACCAGGAAGATGATCAAAGATCATTTGTCACCTGCATTTATCTAGAGTCAGATTCCACAGAAAGCCTCTTAGAGATCCGTCCCCAACCTTTCCACCCAGTTCCCTCTCAGCTCCACCTCCTCCTCCTTAGAAACCTCTGCTTTCAAGCCCATTTCTGCCTCCTCTCCTTCATCTCAGAAAACAGCTTTCTAGAGAGCAGAGTTAGCCAAACTGTCCAAAATTTCTTATCTTACTACTTTCTGAGATTGAACTTCATTTCAACCCAGACAGTTATAGTTTTCAGCTTTCATTTCAAGGGATTCAGTGTGTTATAAATATAGAAAATAGTAGCTACTTTGTGGGGTTTTTTGTGTGTGGTAAGATGTGGAAAATATTTCTTCAATTGTAACTTATTCTTGGTTTGACCTGGTTTATCTGTAGGCAGATAAAGAGAAGAAGATATTGAAAATCATGTTAATCATTGTACACCTCTAATGTGGATTTTAGAAAATTAGAGGGAAGAAAATGGATCATAACTGGGGAATCAAATCAAACTGAAATTTTCTCTCTCTCTTTATAAATTGCTTCTACTCCAAGAGCTAAGTATACGGTTTTAAGCCTATTAGGTTAAGAAGACATTGCATGAAAGGTTAATATGTGTATTTGTGTTAAAATTCCTACTCTCAATCAAATTTCCCGCTGCCTCTGGTTTCTAATGAAAACAGTATCTCAGCCATAACCCCTAATAAATACTATTTGATGGGGGGGCTTAGTCTGCAAAGCCTTAGATTTATATCTAAATCCATTCATGCCACATCACAGGAGGTAGTGCACACAGCAGCAATGGCATTGCAAACAAGGCTTTCTTCTCTAATCCTATGACTATTTTTGTTCTACAATGGCTTTCCCTGGTGGGCTGCCATTAACAATTGCAAAGATCTTAGAGCCTTAATGACTTGGTGCACCATGAATCCTTTTCATTGAAATACAAATAGAGATGTGGAACTTAGATTGTGAGAAGTGTCGCAGTAATCTGATTTAACTCTTTGGCGTGCAATACACAATTTGGGACATGGACATCTTGCTGAGAAAGGCCAATTCCTGCAATAAAAAGCTAAGGTGTTCAAGGAGTAAGCTTCAGAATCATTTTCTGATATAAATGGGTTTGTTTCCTTCTTTCCCTTCAAGCCCTGGTCACAATATTGGTTTTGGAATATGCTGTGTTTCTAAGTATAGCATCGACAAATGATCTCTTTATTATCGGGGCACGTATCAAGCAGACAACACAGTCTGCTTAATATGGCATTCTGTTAGCTGCTGGGATGAGAGTATAGATAAAATACAGTCCCTATGAGTGAAAGGATTATGGCGATTTGTTTTTCTTTGTGCTTTTCTGTTTTCTAAATTCAATATGCATTACTTTTGTGATTAGAAAAAAATTAAACATTGTACATTCTATGGAAAACAGACATATGTATAGGAATGGGAGAAAATGGAAAAGATTTACACTAAATATTAACCAAGTTTACAACTGGGACCTAGGATTTGAGGTGATTTTTTTTTTTTAATTTTTATTTATTTATTTATTTATTTCCTCCAAAGCCCCAGTAGATACTTGTATGTCATAGGTGCACAGCCTTCTAGTTGCTGTATGTGGGACGCAGCCTCAGCATGGCTGGAGAAGCGGCGCGTCGGTGCACGCCCGGGATCTGAATCCGGGCCACCAGCAGCGGAGCGCGTGCACCCAACTGCTAAGCCACGGGGCCGGCCCTTGAGGTGATTTTTATTTTCTTCATTATCCTTTTTTATATTTCCCCAATTTTACATAATGAACTTGTATTACCTTTTAATTGGGGGGAGTGGGGGACTTGGCAAGTGTGATCAGAAACAAAGAAACAAATCAAGAAAATTCCTTAATTACCTCTCAGACTTTACTTTTGTTTCCTAGTGAGTTCTTAATGATCATTTATAGCATATATGTTAGTCCATTTTCCATCAAGTGAGTCCCACAGACATCTACAACCTCACTGCTTAGTACTAATCCATGGTTCCCTGATCCACTTAGAGGTTCCTAATTCCTCACCTGGTGTTGTTCAAAATCCAGTTTATGTCAGTATTTTACTTAAAAATACCTTAGCCTAGACAGTATGATATTGTGTGTGTCAAGTTTAAGATCTAGGGGTCAGTGAGTCGCTCTGCTTGAAATTCTCACTTCAGGGAGAATCAGCAGGGCATTAGAAAGGCCACGCTCCAGAGGCGGTCACTACAAGGATGTCTGTGATCCAAAGCCACCTGAGGCTTTGGTCATTAGCAGAGCGAATGTCAGACATGGGTTTATATCAGTGATATGAGAAGCTTGTTAATCACATGATGTAGAAACGGGCTCTCTTTGGCACAACTCGAGTTATTCAAGATATGGGGAATAGCTAAAGTTCTTAGAGACACTCTCACCCTTCATGAAAGGGTATTAGAATCTGGTGAGGCTGGTAGCCTGTACCACTAGAAATGAGTCTGGCGTTTGATCTCTAAACGGTCCCATGTCCAGTCACTGGGTCAGGTAATTGGGACTGCTTGATGCCAACTATAGTGAGAATAGAATCCTGACTCTGGAATGTTGTCATGTTTGCCTCAAATGAACCTTCCATGCAAGATGGTGGTTGGAACACTAAAAGGACAGTCTAGTGGGATGTTGTCAAGCTTACAAAACACGTTGTATGAACGTTTTGTGCCTGCTTCAATGAATGTTTAATAAATGTCTGTAGGTGTGGAAGGATTTGGTGTGAGTTTTGCATTCATTATAATCTAATCGCAAGGTTGTGGGGAGTAGCTAAGAACCTAAGAGTTAGTATATGCAAATTAACTTAGGTTAGTGTGCAATTGAACTTTGTATATTAATTTCTAATGCTAGAAAATGAAGTCTAGAATACCTGAAATTCTACAATAGATGCTTAATAAATGAATACTTATGGAACACAGGTATTGTACATTACTTCAGGTTCCCAGTACACTGTAGTGACGTTACTTTCTTTTTTTTTGGTGAGGAAGATCATCCCTGAGCTAACATCTGTTCCAATCTTCCTCTATTTTGTATGTGGGTTGCCACCACAGCATGGCTTGATGAGCGGTGTGTAGGTGCAAGCCCGGGATCCAAACCTGGGAACCCCAGGCCGCCAAAGTGGAGCACAGGAACTTAACTACTACACCACCAGGCTGGCCCCAATGTTATTTTTTTTAATGAGAAAAATACAATAGTGGGTATGTTAATGCAAATCTGGAAAATGTGGAAAAATGTTCAAACAGTTAAAAAATCACTCAAAATCTTACCTCCCAGAGTTAACAATGATTACGTTTTTTTAACTTATTTTGTACTATCATTGACAGGCTTTGATATCAGAATTAGACTAGTTTGTGAAATAAACCAGATGCTTCCCTCAGTTTCTATGTAATGGAATACAAGCTCTTGCTTGTACTACTGAAATACACGGTAATGATCTCTTTTTTTAAATGTGAAGGAATTCACGTATAGAGTCATATATTTTCCATCTCTTTCTTGGAAGAAATTCTTTGTCAACTTTTTCAATTTCTTCCATGGCTATTGGATTACTGCATTTCTACTTATCAAATCAATTGTATACTAATTTGTATTTCCCTAGAAATTGTTCATTTTAATAATTTCAGGAATAATAGTATATAATTACACTTAGTATTCTCACCAATTAAAAAATTTCTCCATGAAATGGATTTTATAATCCCTTACTCAGGTTTCATTTTAAGTGTGTGTTTCCTTTTTTATTTTCATGATTTAATTATCAGTGGATTTTTTAAAATATTTTTTTGTCTTATTTCCAGAGATATAGCTCTAGAATTTGTCAACTCCACTGCTTTTCTATTTTATAATTCAGTCATTCATTTTTACCTTTATTATGTTCTTTTTTATGGTCTCCTCATATTTATGTTGATATTTATTTTCAGTGTTGGTTGAATGCTTATTTTCACTATTTTTCTTTAAAAATTAAAGCCCTTAAAGCTATTAATGTACCTCCAATTATAGCTTTGGCTATATCTCATGAATTTTAGAATGAGTGCTATTATTATCATCTATATAGTTTTGATTTATTTGCCAAAAGTGTTACTTAAAAACATTGAATTTGTAAGTAGATAGTGTTTGATTTCACTTCTTACATTACCTGTATAATTTTACCACTTTGGTATTTGAGATTTTCTTTTTGGCCTAATAGATCAATTATTGTAAGTAATCTAGGCAAAGAGCTTGAAGAGAAAATATATATAGACTTTGCAATCTATAAACAAAGAGGATACTATTAAATCAACCTTAACTATACTATTCATGTGCTCTAAATTATTTCTTTTTTACCTGTTTCATTTGTCGATGAATGAGACAAGTGATCAATTTTCCAATTACTGTTATTTATTGGGAAACTTCACTAACATAATTAATATTTTTGCTTTGTATATTTTGATGGTATTTTATTTAAGTGCATAAATGTTCTTGACTATTACAACTTCATTGTAGATTGTATTTTTTTTTTTTTTTGGGAAGATCGGCCCTGAGCTAACATCCATGCTAATCCTCCTCTTTTTGCCGAGGAAGACGGGCTCTGAGCTAATATCTATTGCCGATCCTCCTCCCTTTTTTTTCCCCAAAGCCCAAGCAGATAGTTGTATGTCATAGTTGCACGTCCTTCTAGTTGCTGTATGTGGGACGCGGCCTCAGCATGGCTGGAGAAGCGGTGCGTCGGTGCGCGCCCGGGATCCAAACCCGGGCTGCCAGTAGCGGAGCACGTGCACATAACTGCTAAGCCACCGGGCCAGCCCCTGTAGATTGTATCTTTAGTCAATAAGAAATAGATCTCATTTTCACATTTAATGAATTTTTACTTCAATTGTATTTTATCTAATATTAATGCTATGACTCTAGCTTTTTTGTTCACATTTGCTAAATATATTTTGCCCATTGTTTTAATTTTACCATTTTGTTGCTGTATTAAGTTTGTGATTATTAACTCAATTGCTATTTGGGTTAATATGGGACAAGCACATAACATAAGAAAGTGTAGTGGGTCAAGGAGTAATAAATTAGGAACCATAGCAAATTGGAGAGTGATGCCCCATCTCAGTGGGCCACTGGCTACTCAGCATTAAAGTATTAACTAATTATTGCTACAATGTGAAAATGTTGCCAGTTGTTTTAATTTTTAAAGAGAGGTGAAAAATGTGGATTTTTATCTAAAGTTCTCAATTTTGAAACATTTTGTGGCCCCTTCCTTTCAGGAAAACAACATCATATTCTTTGGGCTGCACAAGGTACTAATTGGCAAAATTTGTTTTAGGTCTCTTTCAACAGCATGTTGTTGGATTTCATTACTGAACAAATTTGCAGACTTGGACTGAGCGTAACTATTAATGAAGCAATTTGCTTTATGCTGACTTCATGTTTTGTTATTTTATTTCTTTGTAACTTTCTATATGGTCCTTTTTTTCACCCATTCAGTAGATGAACACACTCTTTTGCATTTTACTACACGTTATCTTAAAGTTTTAAAAATATACATAATCTGTGTTTTAAATATGATTTCCAGGTAAAATGAGGAATTTATACTTTGATTTTTCACAATTGTTTTATCTCTTTACGTCCCAGTATTTATTTATAAACAGAGTTAAACACCTGGTTTTATGAAAATGTCCTTATATATCTCTTTCAGGATTTAGGATATTTCATTCTATTTTTATAATTACATATATTGCATTATTTAGACTTGGAGCTTTGTTTTTATGTTAGATATTCTTCCTTCCAATTCTTTTAAAACAAACTACCTATTCATGTGTTCTTGATTTTTTATTCATCTCTGAGCTGGAAAATGTCTTTGAAATTTTCTTTTCAAGAAGGGAGCATAGGTGGTACATATATCAATTACTATCCTCACAAATGAAAAGCAATGTAATTGGGAACTAAAATTAATACACTGCAAACATTTTCCACCTCAAAACTCTTTACATGTCAGTTTCAAAATCTCTTCTTACATTTAATGTCCTAGAGAAGAAGGCTAACTGGATTTTCTTTGTGTTTTGGTACCTGTTTTGTTTATTTTCTTGATGTTTTTCTCTGAGGTTTTTGTTTGCTTGAGTCACAATGATCAGGAAAGAATTCACTAGGATATGTGCAGTTGGTAGTTTCTTTTCCATAATTTTGCCTGGTATACCCTGAAGCCTTGATTTACAGATTTGGCTCTTCTTTTTGGTTCGGAAAAGTAATGGAAGAAAAACATAAATTTATGGAGTTGAAGCTCCTCATACCCACGATTGTCCCCAAAGCTTCAGTGAAATTTTCCTCCTATGATAGCATCACCTCGCCCATATTTCTCCACATTGTCCTTAAGGATATCAGGAAAATTGTCCAGGAATCCTCCTTCCACCATAACACCACAATCGCAATGGCTTACTGATTCTGTCTCTGTAATATCTCTGATCACTTCCCTATTTTTCCATTCTTACTGCCCTTCCTCACTGTAGCTTTCCATCAGAGGGCTGTACTAGCCTTCTAATTAGTCGCCCTGCATCTACCTACTGACTCTTTCTCTCTCTCTCATATATATACACACACATACATGCTTTGTTTTTGTTTGTGTTTTGCTTACTGACTTAAGGTCAACCTCCTTCCCTGGCAAGCAATGACGTTCCATTTAGTATCCAAATTCCATTTTCTAGCTAAGTTATATGACTCATTTCTCCTCAACTGTATCTGTAGTATATTCTGGTCTCGGTACCTTTGCTTACGGTCTGTTTTCTCTGGCTCCTTCTCCTATCTTACCTTTCAAAATATTACCTTACCCTCCAAGAACGATCCTTCCTCATACTACTTTTCCCAATTATACCTCCCAGAAACACTTCCTCCCTCCTCTGAATTCCCATGGCCCCTCCTTACCTACATTCTAGATTTTTCACCATACTTTTCTTATCCACACTGTTGGACTTCATTATGCTACACAAAACGTGGGGACTCTCTCTCCCGCATCTTTGAATCCCTCATAGTGTCTTGCACATAAAAATGCTTAATGTTGAAAGACTGCTAAGCACTGAATGACCCTTTTAGATAATAAAACATGTCAATTCTGAATACCTAGAGGACATCAAATTTAGCATAGAAGATCTCATTCTAAAAGTATTACCTGAACTGGTCCATTAAAAGGTGAAGAAATTCCTTTATTTCATCCACATGACTGAAGCTAGGAAGGTGTCCTCCAAGTGCTTGGCAGAATCTCTCAGCTTCTTCCCAGTTCCTCTTTCTTACAATTCTTTCTATATGAAATAGCTTAACAAAATATAATGTTAACTTGTTTTCTGGTATAATCATAAAACATTCATAATTTTAAAGCCCATTATAGTCAAATTGGTAGTCCCCTGGAGTCTTATAGGTGTAATGAAGATGTGGGTAAATGCACATACACGGTGACATGGACAGGTCCTGCTGAAAGTGTCAACTAAAGGCCAGCAGATGTGCTAGGCACTGTTGTCAAATGGATGACCTTCCTCAGCCAGGCTGGGGAACAAGACACCATGTTCTCCTGCATTCTCAGGATTTTGAGAGATAAATTGAACCAGCAGGTAAGGCTTTAAAGGATACATATGAATGGTTTGGGAGCAGACTTCTGCAAAGAAATGTGCTAGCAACATAATTTTGAACATAATACACTGAGACCTGCACAAGTACAATACTATTTTCTGATGAAGAAGAATCAAAGGGCAGACTGCACTGGTGTGTGAACATTGACAGAAGATGGCAAAACAAACCTTGCCACTTTGGACTGTTGCTTTGGTTTGTGATGACTAATTTTATGCCAAAGGAACCATAGTCATTTCAAAAGAAAAAGAGGAGGAGCAGATGACAATGGTAGATTGAATGACTGGTCCCGATTCTTCAATTCCCTGTAACATAACTACACACTCTTGCCATGGCCTCCTGCTGGGTGGAGTATACTTCCCTGTACCTTGACTTGGGGCCCGGCATGTGACTTGCTGTGATCAGTGGGATGTTAGTGGAGGTAAAATGAGCAGAGGCCTGAAATGTGCTTACATGGTTGGGCTTCCTCTCAGGTTCCACTGATTGACTAAGAGAAGAACAAGCCCCTTCAGCTTGAGCCCCAGATTGAAGGGCAGCAGACCCCAACTCATAGCCTGGAGCCCAGGACTGCTGATCCATAGTTGAAAGCAGAGCTGACCATTTAAGCCCATATGCCATCAAACCCTAACTGACCCAGATATTTGTGAACATGAGACTAAATGTTGTCATAGCCACTGAATTTTGGGGTGGTATGTAACGGTTTGTTTATGGGAAGAGCTGACTGATACAGACCCTAAAATAAATTTTTTTACATTGTAGGAAGTGATGGAACTCTTCATTTGACAACAAGAATTAGAGGGATATGAGAATCATCAGTGAAGTGTTAGCACAGCACGCAACTCACCCACTTCCCAGAACAAAAGAATCCTAGGAAAGAGAGAGTTCTGGCTCTGGTCCCGCTGTTTTGGGTAGGACATGAGTTTTTGTGGGGATGAGCTGTCTGACACCAGAGGTTCAATGATGCCCTGACAAGGACTCTGTGCTCCCAAACACTTTCGTAGGTTATATAGGTGCCTGAGAAGGAGCATAATTTGTACAAGGACATGGACTAGGATAGCAGAAAGATAACGTCTTTGAGGGATGGAATGAGAATGTTAATTTACCTTATAACAAGAAAGACCTGAGGGGAAACTTTGCCAGCCTTCCGGACAGGGGTCACTAGGCTTGGGGGCTGCTTCTTCAGGCTCAGCGGGCCCACTTCTTTTCTTGCAAATTGAAAGTGCTCTGAAGCTTCTGCAGTCTTTTACCTCCCACTTTCCAAGAAACTTTCCAGTAGACATAGCCACGCACCCGCCTGGAGAAGCTGGGGTTGAATTGGAAAGTTAAATTAAAAATTACATTTTTAAATCAAGACCAAACATTTTCAAGTGGCTCTACTCTTTATTTGAGTCAAGATGGGGAGAGAGAATAGGAAAGAAAATGGAGGAAAGAAACGTATTGTTCACAAAAATGATGATGATGATGACAATGATGGTAACACAGAAAGTGCTTATTACTTGCTAGGTACTATTCTAGGAGGAGTAAATCCTCACAACAAACCTATAGAGTGGATTCTATTGTCACACGGAGGTACAGTGAGGATTAGTGACTTGTCCAAGGTCACATGTTAGTAAGTGGTTGATTCAGGATTGGAATCCACATTGTCTGTGTGCAGAGCCATACCCTAAACCACTATGCTGCTCAGGATGGTCTAAGTGGTTCATACTAGCTTAACGACTTTGAACAGTTTTTAAGCAACTTAGTAAATCTCAAAACAAAACTCTCCCAGATTCAGATCCAAAGGAAAGGCCAGTACAACAAAAGTAGAAGGAGGCATGTGGTAACATACTATTTATTTTATGGCAGCCAGAATTTTATTTATTTACAGCAACAGTGAAAGATAGTTTGTATTATCAGACCCATTTTCCAGATGAAGAATACGTGACCTGGCCACAAGCATAGTGAGTGGACTATGAACCCATAGTCAGGGCTTGAACCCAGATTTGTCTGGCGAAATGCCATGCTCCCTTTTCCATTATACCACACTGCTTGAAGTGGGCAGAGGACAAGAAGAGCATACATTGGAAAGTAATGAGGACAACTTCTATTCCACCAAACAGAGAAGCCATATGGTCTCATGTCTCATACTTAGACATGGCCAGCAAGAGGAACAAGGAACTGGGAAAAATAATGCTGTGTTACCCTGGATGGGTGTGCTTTTTCCCCTGTTCTTCCTCCTACCCATGGCTTGTCTATGATAGACCAAGCTGGCTGAAGCTAGAAGTAATAATGGCAAAGAGAGCTTAATGGCACTCTTTCTGGCTACAGGACTGAGAGAATAGCCACTGTAACTACTTCCTGAGCACCTCTCCAACCACTGAGGCTTATCCATGAAGAATGTGACATTGACTCTAAGATGTCTAGGTGTCTATAAAAGAAATCGCATGTGTTTTATATATTAGAATATTCTAATTTAAGACAAGATTTAACCACAATTAGCATCTGTATCCTCTATCTTCTACAAGTAAAAAGATGATTTTGTTATTATCAATACCACTCACGTTTATGGTGATGACCGTGTGTTACAAATTTTGTGGGAATTCTCTATTTCAAATATTGTGTTTAACTATACACTCACATGTTCCAATTTCTGTTATAAAAAAATGGTCTTAATGATCACATTGTACAAACACAAGAAAATATAAATAATTCAAAGGGAGAAAAGTCAAATGTTTTATAAGTGCTGTCCTATACAAAGCCAAAATCATCTAAAAAGCATCAGATTAGAAATCAGGAGATCTGGATTTTAGCAATTGAATAACCACGTAACTTTTGTCAAGTAAATCACCTTTCTATGCCTCTGTTTTCTCAACTCTAAAATCAGAAGGGACTTATGAGGTCCTTTCTGACTCAAACGTTCTGATTCTATGGCTAATGACAGTCAATGCTTTAGGCTGGTTAAAGGAGGATGAACTAACTTTCAGAATAAATAATACTCACAACATAGTGCCTCCTTAATTCTCACCCACTGAGAATAATAGAAATAAACACACTCAATTTTGAAGAAAGAAGGTAAGAAGCAGACTGATGAAAATGTAAAGTATTTCACAATGAAGTGTCTAGATTCTGTTTGAGACTTTTGTGGAAAAGATAAAAAACTCACATAGGTGGTTCTAGCTCTGTGGCATTAGATGGTGGTTTCTGAGAACTGACTTTTCTAGCTTCTTTTAGTGGGTTATGCCCAAGGATTTAATAGAGAAGACATAGTCACTGCTTCTATTTATGGTTCCATAGATGGACTTTAGCCCTGAAGATCATTTCCCTCACATTTCAAAGGTCAGTGAAGAACATATTTGGGAGGGATGCTGCATTTCACGTCACTGTTTTCCACTATTTTAAAGGCAAAGGCACTTACCTGGCTCAAAAAAGTTCCAGTTGGAAAAGGTTACAGCCCTCTTTACTCCACTAACACTTGCCCAGCCATACTCTCCACGTGAACCTAGATCTCTCAGGCCAGTCCAGAAGTATTTTCCTGGAGATTTAGTATACTTTTTAATCATATCATTCAGGTATTCTTGCTCAAATCTACAAAACAAGAGTAAAATTAGCAAGCGTTTTTACAATGACTGATGTACTATATAAATTAAAGATGCACCTTTTTCTTAGGAAGATTATTTAGCAAAGGAACCCAGCGTTAAAAGTTCACTAGTACATGTTTACTGATGGTCGCACCTGCTAGTTACAGTCAGATTGCAGTTGGTTCCAAAAGGGACCTCATCCTTGTAAATCTTGTAACAAGTTTCTCCATGTCTCTTCCAGCCCTAAATCAGAGGAGAAATATTATCACAGCATTTTCCAGACTTGATGATGTCCCCGTCTGACAAGCAAGGTTTGCTACATTGATAACATCTCACAACTTATGGAAATTAAGGACATGGCCAGTGACTTCTTACACTTGATGGGTGGGACACAATTTCATGGATAAGCTCCACAAGACTGTGAGCCTATATCAGACAGAGGGTGTGTCTTAATTCTCTTTACCCCTAGCACCTAGCTCATTATAAGGGTTTGACAGTTGTTGGTTGAATTATTTTTGAACAGGAATAATATAAGTGGCAGAAGTAAAGATATCAGCATTGAGGATAGTAATCATGTACATTTTTGTAGAAATTAAAGAATAGGTAACTCTTTTTCCTTCTGTAAGAATGCCAATAAACTATGATTCTCTGCCCTCTGGCTTGCTCTAATGCAAATGGACAGAAGCTAGTAATTTCTTTTATTTTCCAAGTCTGAATTGTTTAAGTCTAAACTATCATCCCTAACCAAGAAGGTGTAATAGTGCTTAGAAAATTTTTTGCCAGGGTTTTACATACCTCATCTGGAGGACACATCTTATCAGACATTGAATCATTCATTTTTTCTCCATTTTTCTTACATACATATTTAAGTTTCTCTTCACATGACTGGACTTTCCACTGACCTAGCTTTTAAAAAATAGAAAAAAAAATTTTTCCCACAAGAGAAATTATTTGCCATATATTTAGAATTGAACTCTAACTTATTTTAAATCAAGATAGTTTCTTCTCACAAAACTACGAGGGAGGGAAAGGGGGAGGTGGAGGAGGAAGAGAAGAGAGGGAGAGAATGAATATAAATGAATGATCAAACCTGAGAACATACTCCTAGAAAATGCTACCCAACAGGCCTGCAAGGTTGTGGCCCACAGCCTGTTATTTCAGCATCACCTCAAGGTCACAGTGGGGATGAATTTCATTTTCTTATAAGAGTAACAATAAAACCATCAAAGGACACTCAGTATAGAAGTTGGAGAGAGAAGAACTCAGCCCACAAATAGTTACCAATGTTCTAGCCTTCTTCCATATGACATGGTCAAAGTTCATCCATAGGTTGAAAACTTTTGGGCATGTCAACTACCTCCCTGTCTCAGTTTCCTCATATGTAAAATGATGATGGTAGTTAGAATAGCTACTCTCCAAGAATTCTAGAATCAACAGTTTCTTCCAACTCTACTTCAGCCTAGACTTCCAAGTTCTCTCTTTCAAATATACTACTTAACATTTATTTTGCTTAATTTACTAAGTCACTGCTTTCTTCAAATTAAATTTTAATAAGTCAATTGTGATAAGGGTTAGTTTTGAACACTAGGTATGCCATCAGTTCACTCTCGTCTACGGAACCTCATCTCTATCTTGGACACTCTTTGAAAGACGTCTTGGATATCCTTTTAAATAGAGCACCAAAAGTGACATCCTTCTAAATTCATCTTTGACACCTTTCTAAATATATTTTCACTCCTGAAACACTTCTAAATACACATACCATTTATTGCTTCCACTTAAGTCTCTTTAGAAGTTTAGGTGACACAATCAACCTCCTAAACAATTAGGAGTCCACAGGAAAGTGATCCAAACAAAAATGCAGAGGTACGTATATCCTCTCTGCTCAAGATACAGATCATTTTGGACTCTTAAGTAAAGCATGTTCAATAAATGTTTAAGCATTCTACAGGAGTAAGATGTTCTCTGAACAAAGTTAGACCCACTTGTTTAATAAAAATATTTTTTAACTACTGAAAGTAGGGTTAATATAAAACTTAACCTGAACATGAATTCAGAAGATGGGATTTTTCAGGTTAAATTGTGGCTACATGCTAAATATCACACTGATGGTCCTTAGAAAAAGCAAGTTATTAGAACCTATTTGGCACAAGAATCTGAGTTCTAAAGGGAGTCTCCTGATCTGTTTCAGACCAGCAGATACTCTCAGACAGGAAATGGATTGCTTGTTTCGTTGTTGCTTTATTTACTTTTTTTCAGTAGCTACCGGAAAGACAATCCACAGGGCTCATAGCTTTTATTTTCTTTCCCAGGTTAAACACAAATATCCCAACCAAAGTAATCTTAATATTATTATTAGGAATAACAATAAGAATATAAATAAACCACAAGGGGTTTCCTACCTTTCCTAAATAGGAAACACAGTTGGGAGTCTTATTGAAGGGAACATTTGGCTCATTCTCATCCCAATATGTTAGAGTAACTTCAGTACCATCTGACCACTGAAATAAAGTTGGTATATTTACGTTCTTAAGGCCTGTCCATGTTTCTTCTTTGGCATCTAAAAGAACAATGTTTTATTTAGTTTGGTTTTACTCAATTATATACTTCAATATGTACATGTTACTGATTTTACATTCTGATATGGGGTTTTAAGAGCCTTGATGGTATTCTCTTTTTTTCTCTTTTAAAATTTTAATTCAGAAGAGTGTATTCTTAATTAACCTGTTAAAATGTTGGCAAGTTAGATAGGTGGTGTGATGAGGGCTTTTGAGATCACTTATGCAGGTAGAGTACACAGATGGAACAGCTGTACGATGACCTGTGGGCTGGGTGTTTCTGATATCTGGTTTAGGTAAGCCTTGCTTTTGGGAAATAATGAAATTCTACAAATACAATCATAGATATTCCAATTGGAATAAGAATATTGTCCATCACTACCCTGGAATGACTATGCTGCCTTCCCAGGTGAAAAAATTAGCATCATGTTCACACACAATAGAAATCTACTATTAGCTGCTATTATTAGTGAATCCTAGGAAGATGTTTTAACTGGCAGTGTAGTGTATTTTTGTTCTTCAGTCTTTAACTTTCAATAATTACAAAAGTGAAATAATCATCACTTAAGTATTTGGAGCAATTTAAATAGCATTTAGCTTATGAGAAGAGGGAAATTATTCAATCAATGGTAGTACTGTCAAATCGGTAGCCACTAGCTACATGTGGCTATTTTAATTTGTAAATGAATTAAAATTAAATAAAAGTAAAAATTCAGTTCCTCAGTTGCCCTAGCTACATTTCAAGTGCTCAAAAGCCACACATGGCTGGTAGCTACTGTATTGGACAGCACAGATTATAGAACAGTTCCATCATTGCAGAAAATTCTATTGGACAGTGCTGATCTATAAGGATCAAACTGTAAGTTTTTCATTCCTGCTAAGAGTCTGAAAATAGGGATACTTTAAAATGTTTTAAACTTCTAAAATAGGATATTTTAAAAACTTACCCCCATTATGGAGTTTTGTGACAACCACCTCCACATCCGCTAAAGAATGAATGCTGATGAGGTCACTGCCGAAGTCTTTGCATTTCATATGTGCCTCATCCCAGGAATTACTTTCATTTACCAGCAGATAGCAAAATCCGTTATTTGGCAGCCAGTCTGCATCACAGCGGGTATCTGAATATGTCCAAACATCTGGGAAGAAAGCAGCTATTTACATTCCAGTAAAGATACATATATTTAGAATCAATAACATTGCAAACTCTTCTTTCTTGAATCATAAGGCTTCTGGAAAACTGGAGAGTGTGATGTCAGATAGTACAGTGACATGAATTTATGTGGTGCCTAATGTATACATAGCATCATAAGAGTGACTGCAGAGAGTCAGATAATGATACAACTTGAATGTGATATAAATGCGCTACATGGCTGGGCTCAAAACTATTTAAGGAGGGATTGCTCTTAGTCCTAGGAGACCAAAGAAAGGTGTGGGGTAAGCCAGTTGCTGACAAATCTCTTCCTTGGTTCGGGACTTGTTAGATTCCCTTGCAGCCTCTGCCTTTGAGAGATTATGAGGTCGAGTCTCCTTCTCATATATGGTCAGTTTAGCAAGGGGATGTGCATTAATGCTCACTGTTGAACAAAGGCAGGCAGAGTTTTAAGGAACAGAATAAGACATTTGTTTACTCCACACCCAAGAGATGGCAGCAACAGAGGGAAAGGGCAAAAGGGCATCTCTGGACCTCTTCTTTCCTCCCCTCTGCTAGACCTATAGTCCTCATGGAATTAGTGATGCTTTGTTTTGACCATGATAAAACTCACTCAAATGGTGGTTGAGAAAGATGAGAGAAAAAGAGTGAGATACAAAACCATACAAAATACTTCTACCCCTCTTAATAGAACCAGAGAGCAGTTTGATCACTCAGACTTCATGGATTTGGAACTGTTTGGAATGTTTGTTGTACGAAAACACAGCATCTTAAAAATGTAGACAGTTTGTTTTCTATTAAAGGATAAAATTCAGGTTCAGCTAGCTTCTCACACTTGCAAGATAACTCAATTAACTTTCAGGTTCTGAAATAGCACTTGTTATTATATTTTACAATTATGATAAAGGAATAGAGGAACAAAATCACACATAATTGAACTTAAAACAATCATTTTCCTATTCTAGTCTTTCTCTCTATGAATACATATTTTTACAAGATTAAAATGATGAGTAGGCATATCATTTCATTCTGTTCTTTGTATTTTCCTGCTGGCACAGTTATTTTAATAAATTCATATTATTCAATCATGTGGAAACATCATGATTTACTTAATAATTGCTACTACGGGATATTTATTTGATCTATCATCAGCAAGTCTGATTTATTTTCATTTGTGCTGTCTTTTCCATTATGCCTTTTGTGTGGACTAAATTTGGTTTGAATCAACTTGGAAGACGAATGTTCATTATCCCCTATTATTTTATAATTTTATTTATTTATTTTTTTCCCCCCAAAGCCCCAGTAGATAGTTGTATGTCATAGCTGCACATCCTTCTAGTTGCTGTATGTGGGACGCGGCCTCAGTATGGCCAGAGAAGCGGTGTGTCGGTATGCACCTGGGATCTGAACCCAGGCTGCCAGCAGCGGAGCGCGAGCACTTAACTGCTAAGCCACGGGGCCGGCCCTCCCCTCTTATTTTAAAACATCCTCTTACATTCTTTATTCTATATACTTATTTTTTAATCTTAAAAAATGGCTTTATGCTTCCATGTGGATAAGAAGTTTTATGCTATATTCTCTCCCCCCAACATTCCTTAAAGCAAGACATTTTAAAACCTCCTTTATTCCTCTCAGTTTTGAGTATTAATTGTTCTTATTCAGTGAGGATTTAATCAAATCCCAGGTATACGGTGGGCTCTGTACAAGACAGTAAGGGCACTCCTCTTCTCCATCCTTTCACAGACTCCTCAGACTTCTCTGCTCCCCAAAACTTCAGCTGTTCTGTGTCTCTCTTACCCACAAACTCCCTGGAAAAACCCCCTCCCTGTAGACGTTTTGTCCCTCTGCACCTCTCCTTTTCAACCTGATTTATCAACACAAAGACCTAAGGAACCAGCCTGGCAAAGGAGGAGAGAGGAGGGGTGGGCATTGTGGGGCAGGGGGTAAGGAAGCCCGGGAACGTTCCTGTGTCCATCATTTTTTTGACTTCTCACAGGGCAGGTAATACATAAGACCTGGACCCAGAGTAATGCTTCTCAAACTTGTGTGCATCAGAATCACCTACAAGGCTTCTTAAAACACCGATTGCTTGGTCCCACCCTCAGAGTTTCTGATTCAGTAAATCTGGAGTAGGTCCTGAGAATTTGCATTTCTAACAGGCATAGATGATGCTGATGCTCTTGGTCTGCGGACCACACTTTGAGAAACATTGCTCTAGAGAAATAAGAGCCACCTGTGAACAGAATACATTTCCTGTCGAGAATCTCTCTGCCTTTTTATGGGCATATATCAAAGCAAAGCTTTATTCATATATAGTTGATAATATCTAACCACAGGGTCAAAATCAAATACTTGCTGGCATTGGCAATATCAGGGGAAGGAAAGGTGGAGATAGGTATCTGAAATGCATTTACTTGACTGCACAAAACTGTAATTTTTATTTTTTTAATAGGAAATTTTTTTTTTTTTTTTTGCTGGGAAAGATTCGCCCTGAGCTAACATCAGTTGCCAATATTCCCCTCTTTTGTTTTCCTCCCCAAAGCCCCAGTACCTAGTTGTATATTCTAGTTGTAAGTCCTTTTAGTTCTTCTGTGTGAGCTGCTGCTGTAGCGTGGCTACCGACAGATGAGTGGTGTGGTTCTGCACCCAGGAACTGAACCCGGGCCACTGACGTGGAGTGCGCCAAACTTTAACCACTAGATCATCAGGGCTGGTTCACAAAACTGTAATTCTAAGACTTCTTTGTACAAGACAGTGAGAAAGATACCTGTTAACTCCTCTGTGTTATTTAACGGTTTCTTGCAGACGTAAGGCAGTTGAGCTTCACAGGAAAAAATATGCCACAGACCAGATGTGGCATCCATTGTTGCACAGCTTGCCCCACCTATTGTAGGTGCACTAGGCATACCTTAAAGGAAAAGATTTTCAAAGAGTTAGAAGGAGAAGGTTAGGGCCAGAGTGGTGGTTAGAAAAAATAATTTGTATTCCTAATTTTCTGCTTTTATGGGATCTCATAAAATAGTTAAAACCTTCTACTAAATTGAAATGTATAAGCCTTAATGGACAACTATGTGCTTAAATATGTTTTTCTTCTAAAATACAGGATACGGGGGAAACACACTGATATACTGTAGTTAATTTAAAAAACAAAACCAAAACCCAAACCTCTGGCCCCAATCAACTTCCTTGTCATATCTTGAGGTCAGTAGCTCTTAATCTGCTACTCCATACAATAAATATACTAATTTATGATTCTGCAATGCCTTTAAGGCCTTGAATTAAAGATTAAATTATTTTTAAAGATTCTATTTACTGAGATAATAGAGAATTTATTTATTAATAATGAAATTTCATTAAACTAAAAAGACCTATTGGTATTTTACTGCATTTAAGTTGTTTTTATAATATGTGTACAGAATGCTTTTGTACTGAAGTTGGTGTTAACTTTTAGGTTTACATTGGTCAGAAGCCTAACATTTCATTTTTAAAAAAGGTATCTAAACCTTCTTTTGGGGGAAAAAAATCTTTTGGCTAACTAGGGTTTTGTTTGTTTTATTCACTACAAATTTTTCTTTAAGGTATTTATTTGTGTAATAAAATATAACCATTACGTTGTCAGTATTTGTGTGCTACAGTGGGAGACCCCAAGAGTTTTAAGATGAGAGAATATCTCTGTATTAGAATTAAGCAGCAGATGAAACACAGCCTGGGTCAGTCCTACATATCATGTCCCCTAAGGGATGCAGAATGGCTCCTGGGCCATGTGATGGGGCTCATTCTGCTCTTTCCTAAAAATGTAGGGTTGCTCTAGAGGTTAGAGATAAATGCTTAGTTGTCCATGGTGTAGTTCAACTTGGCTATAATGATATCACAATAAAGAAGGGCTTAGGAAAAAAAATTCTTCTGAGAGGTAACCATAAAAAGAGCTGTCAAGATTTGAAATTTTTATAAGCTCTCAGTAAGTGGGAAGCTCTTAGTTTTTTGAAGTTTTTGCTCTGTGCAGAGTAGGTGGAGGAGGGAGCAGTTACCTGGGTCCCAGTTGAGAAAGTTCAATGGCTTGTGGTCTGACCATTCCCAGCCTCTAGCAGAGTACAGCTGATTTAAGCCAATCCAGAAAATTCCTGCAATGTCTTCTTTTTCTGTAAGAATTGCATAATTTTAACAAGTGACAAAATTAGCTAAGTTATTAGCTAGGCCAGACTTAAGTTTCTACCAATAGCAAAAATATCTGAAGGCCTTGGCTGTAAGGCAGGAATCCCTGTAGGATGGGGCTGTCTATCCAACAAAGGCAGGTGATGCTGACAGACAACAAAACTTCAGACTGTTGAGAAACCCAAAGGCTGATAAGTTAATTCAGTTCTGTTTTCCTATTACCTTGTCCAATGCTCTTTGTTCTAAGGTAGGAACAGAATCTTCCCAGAATAGCTGTTTCACTATTTTTAACCCTCTTGTACTGATATAGAAAAAGCAGTTTCTATTGTATATCTAGATTTTGAAGATTTGATTGTATTCCAGACTGATTTAAATTCATTAAGTACATATTATTTGCCAGGTGCTAAGGATATAAAAACCAAGATGACAAAGTCCTTGCCCTCATAAAGATTTCAATCTAGTAGACAGAAATGGATATGGATCTCCAAAATGGTAAAGTGTTACCAGTACTGTTTCAGAAATATGTACAGGAACTGTTTGGTAGGCAATGGAATATATAGCTCTACAGTCCAAAGGAGACATTTAAGGCTGGAGATACAGAATGGGAGACACATACACACACACACACACACACCTGCACATAGAAACACACATGCTACAGTGGAGATGTATCATTCAAATTCATTATTTGACAACCAGATGCCATCAGCAAAATATAGAGAGAAAGACACAGAAGCAGAAATAATTTAAATAGTGAGGCCAATTGCAGATATGCCACTCAATATGCATATGCTCACAAGCAATGGATGTAATCATGCTTGTATAGGACCACATGTATTGGAAAGAGAATGAAAAGAACGTATGAACGACGGAAAGGATTTTCACACCACTGTCAAGGAAGTCAACAGAATTACTGAAGGACCTGGTAAGACTTCAACATCATGAAGGAAGAATTTGAAGATATTGAGGGCCATGTAGACGAGGCAGAGCAACTGATGAAATGGTCTACAGAAGACAAGGACGATGTTGACAAAATTTTTAAATATTCTCAGCAGTAAAACACTTGATAACAGTTTCTTAATTCCTCCCAGGGAATTATGTATGATTTATTATTGTATTATACATATAATCTATATATCTGTATATGTACATATAAAATATAATTATAACATTATATTATATACATATAAATGGTTCTTAAAGTTTGGATATGGTTTTCTACATGCAAATCACACAGATACATCTGATATATTATATATATGTATTTCTATTCCTCTGCCCACAATAAAAGACTACAGGGCCTGATAACAGTCACACATCTGGGATCAGCCAGAGAAGAGCCTCTTCTAATGCATCGGAAAGGCCACAGCCAGCAGGGGCCCTGACTTAGAAGTGTCCTAGCCTTCAGGCACCTGACAAAGTAGCTCAAAGTGAACAGCCCCTCAGGGTGGAGGCAAATTTGGAAGAACGGAAATGTGCTATTTCTGCTCTGGGGACTGTCAGGTCTTCTTTCTAGCTCTGGGGTGAATCTGTGGTTAGAGTTCCCCCGAGAAGGCCAGAGCCATGGGAAATCTGACTCCTAAACAAAATCCAGTGAGTATAAAGAAACCAAATCCCCCACCCCTGGGCGCCTGTATTAGTAAAACAAAATCAAAACAAAACTAATGAGGTGCTGGCAAGCAAAAAGGAAAAAGGAAGCTCTTTCAGACTGCATGGGACTTATCTTCAAGGGGGCTGCTTCTGCTTTTTTTCTGGCAGCAGATTCCCTGGTCCCATCCGACCACTAGCTACCAAAGTAGAAGTCCTTTGGCAATAATATTCTCCATTATGCTCTGCACATGTACAACTCTTATTTCCCCAACTAGATCAAGCACTTGGATCAAAAAATCTCTGTCTGATTCACTTTTGTTGGCCTCTCTGCTCCTACCTCAACATTTACACATGGTAGTTTTCAGTGCAGAGATGCAATAGAAACTTCAAGAAATTTTAAAGATTTGGATACTCTGAGTTTCAGATGTTAAAGCATAGCTGTTTTGGGTCTTGGGAAACCAGCAATCATAATTAGGCATATTGATATACCTAAACAGCATTCACAGTGAAAGAGTAGCTCAAAACATTAGAAAGAGATATACCTCTAAAATTATTCATATACATAAAATGTGGGGAGTGTCTGGCTAGGGGTAGGAGACAACTGGGTCCTTTAACATACTATCCACTTTTACGAGTTATTAAAGAAAACTGATGCAAAAAGAAATCCTGCAACATTCATTCCTCCAAGTGCAGCGTTAGATTGTTTGGTAGGGTGTTGACCATCACACTTGGACACTTTTCTCCATCATTGAAGTCATCATTTCCCAAATGTCAATATTCCAGGAAACTTAAATTTATCGGCACTTTCTGCTTTCAACAATATTTTTTGTAAAGTTTCAGTAAGGTCTGAAAGAGAATTCCATTGCCCAACACTAGCCCATTAAGCTTGTCTGACAGATTTCCATTCTAGAGGTCAATCAACTCAAGTACCACACAACACAGGAAAAGGTTAAAGCTATAAGCAAGAAAGGACGTCTGAATAAAGCTTTAGCAAAAAGCACAACAAAAGACCAGTAGACTTTCAATGACGAAAAGAAATAAAGAAAGATGTCTAAGAAGAGTAAGTAATATAATAAAAAGTAAGGGCTCTGGAGTTATATATGTTGATATTCAAATCTCAATTCTGGTTCTTCTTAGCTGTGTGATGTTGGGTATATTATTTCTAAGCATCAATTTCCTTATCTGTAAAGGGGGATAAAAATACCTCTCTTATGAGGTTGAAATGATGACTAAATCATTTAATTTATCTGGAGATATTAGATATTAGGGCTTTGCTCATAGTTAGCATTTATCAAATATTTACAATTATTATAAAACAGTGTGACAGGATTTATCTGAATTAGTCAATAGGTGCTTGTTTAATATATAGAAATAATGCCTCAAGTTTTGTGCAAAAGGAAAAAACAACCCATGAGACCCATCTCTGCCTGCAAAGAAGTTGATAGTCTTATAAAAGGTGAATGCAGGTACATGCCTGATAACTTGTTTTCAAGTCAGACTGATTGTGTTCAAATTTTGGCTCTGCTAATTACTCGTGGGTGACCTTGGACAAGTTACAGTTCCTCTCTGAGCCTCACATTCCTCATCTGCAAAATGAGCATCATCATCATCATCATAATACCTGCTTCATATGATTAAATAAAATAATGTATGAAAAGCATTGAGTAACTCTGTCTGAACATCATCATCATATATCATGATTATTTTTTTCATTCATTGAACAAATCATCTGAGACTCAGTAACTTGCGTTTCTTGATTTTTAAAAATAATATGAAAACTTTCTATTTATAAACTTTACAGTAAAAGATGTGCGGTACTCTGATGGGAAAAGTTACAGAACTTTACTGAGTACATAAAAAAAAGTCCTAGATAGTAGAAAAGTATACCAGTTTCATAGATGAGAAGACTTAATAATGTAGTGACAGCAGTGCTTCCCTAAATAATCTATAATTCAATGCTATTCCAAAGTCCCAACGTGGTTTTTCATTGAGACTAACAAGGTGAATCTTTAAATTTCTATGAAAGAATAAATGCTCAAAAAAATAGCCAAGACAATTCAAGAAAAAAACTGAATAAGGGAGGATTTGCTCACCTAGAAACAAGATTTACTATGTAAGGCTGGAGTAATTAAAACTGTGGAATAGACACAGAGACAGAAAAATAGACCAAAGGAATGAGATGGAGAACCTAGAAACAACACATATATAATAGGGGAGTTTATATTTATTAGAGGTGGCTTAAAAAATCAGAGGGGAAATGTGAAATAAATAGTGCTTGGTCAACTGACCATCCATGTGGAGGAAGACAGTTTCCCACCTCTATAAATTACATTACAGTTGGATTAAAGATGTAAATATGAATAGCAAAATTATAAACTTTTAGAAGAAAACATGAGAGGATATCTCTATCATATTAGGGCTAAGGAAGGATTTGCTAATAATATAAATAAGCATAAAACATTAAGGAAAGGATTGACAAGTTTGACCAAATTAAAATTAACATTTTTTTTGTGATAAGAAGCCACAAAAATAAAGTGAAAAGAAAAAAGACTAGGAAAAGATATTTGAATCCTCCAACAAAAGATTAGCATCCAGAATATATAAAGAACTATAACAAATCAATAAGAAAAAAGCAAACAACTCAGTAGGAAATGGGCAAAGGATATGAACTGGCAAATTACCAGGAGAAAACCTGTACCAAATTACAAGGATGCAAAACCACATTAATTATCATGGAAATGTAAAACAAAAATGAAATATCATTTCACATCATCATATTGGCCAATTAATATGTCTGATAATACCAAGTGCTAGCAGAGGTGTAAACTAATACAGCCACTTTGGAAAGCAATTTTTGATTAGAGGTGAAGAGATGTGCACCCTATGTCTCAGCAATTCCTACTCTAGAGAAACTCTCATACACATCTGCCAGAAGAGGCACCTACAAGGATACTCCTTGCAGAGGTGTTTGCAATAGCAAAAGCTGAAAACGTCCTGTTTTCTACAGGTGAACGGATAAACTGGTTTATTCATACAGTGTAACACTATACAGCAGGAGTTAACAATGGATAAACTTACACATGGGTAAATAAGAGAGTATTTGTATCATTTTAAAGCATAGAACATAGTATAATGAAAACATATATAGTATTTAAACACATATACATTGTAAAACACTCAAGGGCTGGTTATTTTGACTCTAACTCTATTAACACTTTATTTCTTTAAAGGGAGAGAAGCAGGAAAGGAAGGAGAGGGGAGTGGAAGGGGAAGGAAGGGAACGAATCCATGTAAGGCAATATGACAAAATGTTAGTATATATTTAGTTAGGGTGGTGGTTACATAGGTCTCTTTTAGGTTATTTTCTATTCTTATCTATATGATTCGAGTTTTCATAATCAAAAGTTAAAAAAATACCACCACCCCACAAACAAAATAAAACAAAATCCCATCCATTCCATGTGTCCATGTCATTAAATCCACATTAGGATTTCTTAAAACTCTCCTAGCTCCTGAGGACTGGACTCATTTACTCCAACCTGAGGACATTTTACTGAGGCCATCCAGTGCGACTCAGCCAACTTCTTTACCTTCCTGAGTTCTCTACCTTTCAATGTTCAAAGAGTTGAATGTTCACCTTTTTTCAAATCCTTTCACTTAGGTTTAGTGTAGCCCATCAATCTTGCCATCCCACCCATTTTCTGAGCATTAACCTCTCTTTAGTCTCCATCACGAGATGTATTTTTAATGGATGGAACAGGACTATATTCTGTACTTTTTTGCTTACAGGCTTTAGTGTTGAAGTTTAAATCCCAAGAGAAGATACAAAACAATATACCTAGATATGAAAATAGAAGACAGCATCATTGCAATTTCAGCAATTTGCTCTACCACATGCAAATTAAACCTTTAATTTAAACCTACCTTTAAGATAAGTTAATTCAGCAGCATTGCTGATGCTCAGTAAGTCAGCTCCTTGATTGTGACATGAAACATACGCTTCTTTCCAAGAAAGAGCTGCTTGAGTATTAAATTGGTAGCAACTTCCAGTCTGCTCATTCTTCTCCCAGTTATCTTCACAGCCATTTTCTGGTGATAAAAAGATACATTAGCCGTCATAAAGTAGGACATAATCTTTTCTATTACTTAGAACGCTTACAAATACTGCAATTCAATGTGCATACTCTTAGAATATGCTAAAATTGAGGCTGCCATTTGCTCAACTAGACCATATTTTGATTCTTTGGTTACACAAAGATATTGAAGTCATAGGACATCAAATGACTCAGGCTGGTTACAGCTTCCATTCTCCTTCTGTCTTCCACTCTCTCTTTACCCCCTGTCAACTACAATGCCATGTTTTATCCCATGTCTGCCCTCTGCCTAAAGGTAGGAGTCTTCAACTGTGCTCACATTGTCAAAGCCCTGAACTGATGGAAAACAAGCTGACCTGCAGATGGTGGCAGACTGCGGAGGGGTTTGCCCATGGTCTGCAGTAAACCCTCTGTATGCGTGTGTGTGTGCAGACATGCTGCTTAAATGCCGAAGATTTAGAGCCCAAGTGACTACCTTATTTGGGAAACTAAGTCCAAGTTTCTCCTTAATATCTTAAAAGATGATATATAATTTATATTATATAATTAACATTATATAGGTAGATATATGTGTGCAGATGTATATAAACATATATGTACATTGTATAATGTACATATCATTTTCTTTAACAAATATCTAAAAAGCATGTATAATTTCAGACAAAGAAACTTCAAGCTGTTTCCTGGACAAGATATACAGGTCTTGATACAACTGGTTCAAAAACATACTCAGAGCCTCCCACGTGCTCCCTACAAGAGGAGAAACCCAATGTAGGCTATGTCAAGTGTGTCCCAAGCTCCACGTGGGGGGTTTTGCAAAGGGCCTCCCATAACCAGTCACAGATCACATGTTAGACTCATGGACCTTCAAGCTGAAATGGCCCTTAGAGATTGTCTTGTCTAATGCCCTCATTTCACAGATGGGAACAAAGATCTAGCAGTGTTTGTGGCAGAGCTATAATCGGAGCACTGGTCTCTACGTCTGGTCTTGTTGATCTTCTGAATGGCATATGCTCCTGCTTCAGCCACTTCTGAATGGCCTATAGAGTAAAAGAGGTTGTTGTGACATGTGGTGAAAACAAAATAGGTGGATTTGCACCGAAAGTTGCCTAAAGGTTCTGTATTACCACTGAGGCCCGATGCTTGTAAATCTAGAAGCTTCCAGTGGGATGGCAGTGTTTGCTATAAAATACAATCTCCAGGGTTTAGCAGTTCTCACATTTGAGAAACTCACACTCTCCCTTCTTCCATAAAAATAGCTCTGGGAGGCATATGAATGCATTAATAATCCACCCCCCCACCACCACCCAAAGGAGGCTAAAGGCACTGAGACACGTGCCAGTCAAGGAAGCAAGGTAGAATGGGATAAATACGCTGGGGAATGAGGGTCAAGAATCCTGGGATCTCCACCAGGCTCCACAGGAATGTGGTCTGACCCTGACAACCCACTTCATCAGTCTGGGCCTGCTGCCCCTCACCTGAGAAATGAGGGTTTGCACTTGATAACTTCTAAGCTCCCTTTCACATCTAAAATTTCTGATCCGCACTATAGTGAGATTTAAATGAAATTGGTGCCTGGTTGACCAAACTCTGCTTGTTATCAATTACAGCAGAAGCAAATATTGGCTTTTTATCTTTCAGTTGGTTCTAGTGATTGGAAAATCTGGGCCTTTACCTAGATAAGTAATTCTCAAAGTCTGGTTCCCAGACCAGCATCATCAGTATCACCTGAGAACTGATCAAACTTGAAATCTTTGGGCCCCACCCCAAATCTGGCAAATTATCATTTCTGGAGGCGGGCCCCAGAAATCTGTGTTCTGACAAACTCTCCAAGTGATTCTGTTGTACCCTGAAGTTTGAGAACCGTTGGCTTAGTATAACCTCTTCAAGTTGCTTGGAATTCTGCATTTTGAAGCTCAGCTTCCCTTAAGGAGGGATCAGCATTACTAATGCCACCAGGTTGGCTACTGAATGAGGCAGGATAGTGTAGTTGTTTGGGGCAAGGACTTCAGAGCCAGATTTCCTGGGTTTGAATCCTAGCTCTGATATTTACTAGCTGTGTGACCTTAGGTAAGTAATTTAACTCCCCTGTACCTCTCTCTGCTCATCTGTAAAACGGGATAAATAATGGTACCTACCTTACAGGGTTGTGTGAGGACTGAATGAGTTAATATATGTTGAGTGCTTAGAACAGTACCTGACGCCTGGCAGGGCCCTATAAGTATTAACTATTACTACTTAGGTCTGGAAATTTTCCCTTTCTCTTTACTATAGGTTCTTCCAACCCGCTGCCCATTAAAAAATACTTCTTGAGCACCTATCACACGTCAGGTACTGTGATCCCCTGTAACTCTGACCTGATTGGTGAGAAAATATGTCTCAGTTATATACCAGATAATGATGCAACTGCTACTTTGGTCTCTCTCTTTCTAAAGAACAGTGAATTCTTTAGCATTTCAAATAAGAAGCAATTAGAAAAAATGCTCTGACCAACGGTACATGAACAGCAGAGGGAACAATGTCACCAATTTTGAGAGGGCCAGGGATATCTTTCTCTTTTGTCCACCACTCTTTGCTTCAGGCCATAAACTTACTTAAGTCTCCACCATCCTAAATGTGTTTCTTCAACCTCTCTCCCCCTCAACCCACCACATTCACACTCTCTTTTTCTTTTCCATAAAACTTAAAAGGCTTACTCTCCTCCTGTTTGCGCTTCAGTCCGCTATAACCCAGCTTCTATGACCACTAGTCTTGAAATTGCTCTATTAAAGGTGAGCAGCAATTTCCTAACTGCTCACGCCTTTTCTGCTTCCTCTCCCTGAGGTATCTGTGCCACAGAACACGCCCTCATCCTTAGTCTTCCATGACACCACCCTGTCTTGTTGCTCCTCCTAGCCTACTTCTGAAAGCAGGTTCATGGCTACACATGACTTCTTCCTCTTTCTTCAAATGTATACTCCTTATCTAGGATAATATTTGTTGCAGTCGTTTTTGAGTCATCTTGGACTCTTCCCTCTCCCTTTTGCCTCATAGAAATGGTATCCTTTTCTTTCCATATATAATGTCTACTAGCCCATACATACCTGGTTTTAAGCAGATGCCCCACTTTTGGTCATACTCATAGTTTAAGGTGGTTGCACACCATGGCCCACCATGATTTTCATCAAGAACGCACTCATGATGCCAGGTCCCATTAACTAAGAATGGAAATTCACATGGTCTCCCATAGGAGTTCCCATCTCTGGTATATATCTCTGTAGGTTGGGGAGGAAGTAAAGAAAAATTAAAAACTGGATATTAAGGTTCAGTTAACTAATTTCTAAAACTGCTTTTTTTTTGGCGGGGGGGGGCACTGCTCCACCGTGGTGCTCTGCATGTACTTTCTGTGAGAGAAAACTGCCTCAGCCGTGGACAGGTTATAGGTGCACATGGCCAACAGCCCCACATTATGAGAATATAGTATCTGCATAGGCTGCACAGTGTGGAAATTCAGAGCACGGAGGCTGACTGCTCAGTTCTGGAGTTGAATGCTGGCTCCCCTAACAACCAACTGTGTGGCTGTGGGAAAGCTCTCCAACCTCTATTAGCCTCAGTTTCTGCATTTGCAAATTAGAAATAATAGTTTCTAGCTCCTAGGTTTGTTCATGAGGATTCAATGAGATAATCTCTGTAAAGCTTCATTTATTGTGGTGTGAGGAACAGCTGAAAGATGATCCTGGCTTGATCAAGTAAGGATCAACTGACCACTGTGGTTGGCAGAGTACTTTACCAGAAGGGGTGCCCTGAGATTAAACTTACATTCTATTTTCTTTTTTTTAGTAAGATTGGGGCCGAAAAATACCTTGGAATCATTAAGAGCAGGAGTGGACTTTGGAACCAACTGTGGAGTTAGAGAGGTGGACACGTAGCCCCGTTGTTCAGAGACTGATGGCAGGATTGTGGCTGTGGGTTTTGAGGAAATGGTAGGAAGAGCTGCTGGCTCTCTGGGTGAATTCTTGGAGAGGGGCGAGACATGGTAATTCAGGTTATAAAAGAAGAACCAGCTTCAACTTGGAAGTCATGGGACCAGCTTGTGGCCAGCAAGGTAGCAGAGCTAGCTTTTCATTTTAATAATTTTCCCTGGTACCCGAAGAAGAACTGAAAAATTATTCCAACCTCAAATATGCCTGGAAACGCTAGAGGAAGTGCTCAAAACTTATGCTGATAACAGTTCTCTTGGAAAAGTGTTTTTATGGAACAGCTAACCCTGTAACTATTTCAGTCACCTTTTTCCATATCCTTAATTTGTTTAAAACCATGGTCATTACCAGATCAAAAAATGGCTATTAGGTAGAGCATAGTAATCAGATGTTATCACCCTTTACCAGGCTATTAGGGTTCCTCAAAATGTCTCATAAATTTGCTTAAAAGTGTGCTTAAGATAGTATTTGATTCCACATCCTTTATTATTCTCAAATGTTCACTTAACTGTGAAACTTAATGTAATAGTTTATAATGTATTAAGCAGCAGTACAGCAAAAGGTAAGAATAATCTAGATGCTTTTACTTGCAAACAATCTTTTAAGGAACACTGGTTTTGTTTTCCACTGACATATAAATGGTTTTGAATAGGGTACTTCTGTTAAAGAGTAATTTGTCCTTATATTTTATAAGGAGCCTGTTTATTATCTATACCAAAATTCCCAATAGCTCATGACCAATCTCTGTTTCCATATTACAACACTTCACAGGAAACTCCCTGAGCACAATGACTATTACTTGTAGAACAAACAATTTTTTTCTAAAACCTTATGTTTCTGTAATACAAAGTGCTTTCACATACATTTCTTTCACTTGCTTTTTACCATAAACCCCTGAGATCATTGGGGAAGGATTATACTTTGTGAAATCTTCATTTTTGCAGAGTAGTTAAGTGAAACATTCAGTCACTCAGCTGTGACAGCAATGAGAACTGGCTTTCTGATTAGAGTCCTTGATATATAAGGACAACTTGTGACATCACTGGGTGCCTTCTCGGGTTTCAAGTTATGTTTCATAGCTCAAAGCTGGGCTTCAGTTAAAAAGCTCTCCTTTACAATAAGCTTTGAAGAATGATAAGCATATAACAAACACCACAACAGCAGCAGCTAAATTATGCTAACTATTCATTAAGAGTTTTATTCTCATACATTCTTCGCTGCTGCTGGACCTCTGCTGGACCATAGAGAAACAGGCTTTCCCGAGAAGAATCTTTTTTGAATGTGCGAATTTATGGTGATAGCAGCCCTAAAACAACAGCTTATTCTGCAATAGGCACAAATTTGTTAGATGAGGTGCTTACATGCAAAATTAACATTAATTCCTTTGGTAACGTGAGACAAAATAGCTTCAAATAAAGAGGTTGGCAGGCTTCTAAGATAGTTCTACAGCCACCCGTTCACTAAAAGTCCATTTCCTCTGCATGATTCACCAAACATTCAAAATTTGAAGAGTGCTAGTGAGGTCAAGATATCCTAATGATATAAATGCATATCTGGATGCCAGTCAAAAGCCATTTATTCATAAAATTTATACAACTAAAGTTTTCTCTGAGATGAACGTGACTCACACAGGATGGGGGTTGGGGAAAGAGGCAAACCCAGGACATAATGACAAATAAATGTTCTTATATCAGAAGTAAAAAAATGTATATAGCAAAAGCCAAGGGAAAAATAAAGAAGCTATATCTGGGGAACGCAGTCCTGGTTTTGAGTCCTGGCTTTGCTGTAATAAGCTGGGTAACCCTGGGCTTCACCTTGTTGGGACTTAGGTATCTTATCTTTCTTATCTCTATACAACCGGACAAGAAGGGGCGGCAGGGACCAATATGGGGAGTCTGAGAGAGCAGTCCTAGAGAAAGTGCCCAACTTAAGACAGCAGTCTTCAACCTAAGAACAGGAAAGGTCTACATAAACTTAAAAGGGTAAAATTGCCAGGACTTAATATTTGATTAAATTTGAATGGTGGGAGAGGAAAGTAGGACAACTCTAGGGTGACTTGCAGATTTCTGACATAGATGACCTGGATGGTACCAGTCCCCTGGAGAGGAATGGAGAAGAGGAGGCAGGTTTGGCCCTGGCCTCTGTGCAAATTAAAACTTGAGGTATGTATTGAGGAGTCAGAACTACATGTGCCTTTTCTTAGAAATTTCTAAATGTCTTATCTGTCAATTTAGTGTTCCAAAAATAGTATTCGGTAAGGTCAAGACACACTTTATCCCTGTTGGCTCTTGCTGGTGGCACTGTTGCGCTCTCTCTGCGGTGGTGCCCTAGGTGGGTTCTTAACCTTCTTTGTGCCACTGATCACTTTGGCAGCTGTGTGAAGCACACGGGCCCCGTTCTCAGAAGAATGTTATAAATGTATAAAATAAAACACATAGGATTACAAAGAAAACCAATTAAAATAAAATGAAGGCATTCTGAGGACTGAGGAAATTTACAATTACAATATGTCCCTCAAAAGAATTAGGGGCAGGAGACAGAAAGAGCCCTGCCAAGAAAACTATCCTTTCTGATCCTTGAATACAATGAAATACAATGAAACAAGTCAAATCCAGTGCAAAAGGCATTTTATTTGGTATATTTTCTCTTGGCTGCCAGGTAAGAGAAAGGCTCTTTTAGCACAAAATTTGAGCTTGCCATTAAGTGGTATCCAGAAAGCAATTGCTTTTTCAGGTCAGGAGAAAGCTGGCTAGGAGAAACAGACTTGTTCAACTACTCAAGGGTTGTGGATTGAAGAAAAGGAAAACCCCATCTCTAATTCTCTATTTCCCCATAACGGTAGAACCTGACATCTCAGAAGCAGCTGCATCTTCACTAGGAAATAGAAAAAGGTTCCCCCAGGAGAAAAATGTGTGCAGATAACGGGAAGGATGGGAGGCCAAATTTAGCTTAAAATGAGCTTTAAGAGAAGAGGAAAGATCTCTGTAAAGCTATGTAAATTTACAAAGAAAAGCAAAGGTGAGATAATAGTTAAGACTTAGATAAGATAATTAAATATATATATATATCAACATTTGATGTAATTTAGATGAAGATAATGAAAAAAGATTTGCTTGGGTGATAGCTAATTACATTTAGCGGTTTAAAAAATAAGTCTATTCATTCTTTTTAAACCTGGAAATTCGTTGTAACCCAGTTTCTAGACTCAAAACAAAGTTAATGATCAGCTCTCCCAAAGGCAATATTCATATACTTATTTTTGGAAGCAACTGAGAAAAAGTCCACTCTTAAAATGCCGAATCAGAAACACAAACATCAGAGTGCGATAGCCACACCAAAAACAAAAATAAATAAACTCACATGAGCTTCTTCAAATTTTTCCATTAAATCAAAATCTGAAGACAAGGAAAAGTACATTTCCTTTTTTTCTTTTTCTTTCTTCTTTTTTTAACTTACAGGTTCGACTTTACTAAATCATTTGACTTTTATCCTGTATGAAGGATTTCCTGTTTCTCTAAAGTTTCCTTTCCTGTAGAGTTGAGAATGTTATCATAGGAAGTACATATGCTCAGGCATCAGAGAGATTTCAAATCCCAGGGTGCCACAGAAATGCTGTGTGACCTCTGACAAGGTGCATAACCTCTCCTAGTCTTACCTGTAAAAGGAGGCAAATAGCACTGACCTCACAGAGGTAACTCAAAGTTACTGCAGTGTCTGGACCTGAATGCTAGCTCACTGCTCTTACCAGAGTACAACTTTATTTGTGGTCAGCTGTGCATGTTCAATGCCACATTTACCAAACACAACAGTAAATGAGTCAAAGTTGCTCTCCAATACTCACCATGGTAAGGCTGGTCACAGAGGCTTTCCTCTGAGCCTCCTTTCTTCCAGATATCAGATGAGTTTGTACTTGCTATGGCGTGTCCACTCTTCAGAGCCAATTTGTACTGGGCAGCTCCATACAGAGAGTGGTGCTCACATTTCCACCACAGCATGGCACTGGAGTCACAGCTGAACATTCTCAAGGAATCCGTAGGTTTGGTAATATTTAGGCCAAGGCACTTCTGGGATTGCAAATGAAAGAGCCGGTGTTGGGACACCCACTTCCATAACATGTCCCTGTTTTTGTCACAGTCCTTTGCTACTACCCAGTCATTCAGTGGCTTGATGCACTTGCCTGTGTTTTCACTGACGATGGTGAATGGATCATTACCTGAGTCAAGACAGACAGTCAAAGAAGACATTTCAGGATTCTGAATCATGTGGTCAATGTGCCTTGGACCTGCTTGCTGAGGAGAGTCTGAGTACCAAGCTGTATAAACTGTAATGTACTATGCAAGGTCGGAGGACAGTGGTGGCCAGAGAAGCAGCACAGTGTTGGGTAAGAGCATGGGCTCCAGAGCCAGTCTGCCCGGGTTCACAGTCTGCCTCTGCTACTTGTTAGCCAGGTGATCAGGCAAGTTATTTAACCACTGTGCCTCAGTTCCTCCTTTGTAAAATAGGACTTCACATGGTAGACGTGAAGATAAAGTGGGCTCATACTCGTAAAGCACTTAGAATAGTATGTATATTGTTATTGTATGAAATATTTTCCCCCCTTATTTAACGAGATGAAGAAGCTCCTTAATTTTCATCTTCCTTGGACAGGTGGTCCGCGGTCAACAGAAAATATTCCGAGCCTATTCAGGACCACAATTCTGTCTTGCTTACGCTTCAGCCACTACGGCAGGGTAAACTATTACATGACGTTGATGTGTCTCAGAGGAGATGGGGAGACTTCTGAGAGGGCACAAGGAGAATAATGGGGTAAATGGATGAGAGGAAATGGAGGTCTGGGTTCTGAGGATAGGGGAGACCTGTGGCCAGCTCCATTGTAGCACCTCCAGGAAGGTGACAGGAAGCCCCTGGGGAGGGGCTGGGGGTACTGACTGTGTGGATCACCTAGGGAGGCCAAACCTGAGCCACAGGACTCAAGACCCACTAGGTTTGGACAAGAGAAACTCAGAAGCAACCAGTGTGAGCTGAAGGCTAAGGGGAAGGTCCTCCCTGACTGTTCCCCGGGCAGTTTTGCACGAGCTGGGGAAGACTTCAGGAACGACAGGACTGGAAGTTCTGTTAACCTGGTGGAATGGGACCTCAGAATAAAATTTAATCTGGTTTTACAAAAGTAAAGTAATGCACTGTTTCTTGCACACCTGAGTTTGTGCAGCAAGATTCACATCTGTTACAACAAACTACAATTTAACCATTTGGTCAGTACTTTTACAAAGAAAAAATTTTTGAAGTTATTAGCACAGAACTTCATGTTGATGAGACTAAAGCTGAAATATTTTAGACAAACTTACTTAAATAATCATTGTCCATGAACCAAGGGTTCAGCAGAAGGGCCTGTTAAATTTTAGTTCCCAAAAGTCACTTTTATTTTGACGCCAGCTTCACAATCACTGATTTTACCAGCACTAAACACCTTTTCTAATAATAATTCACAGGCTTTCAGGGTTAAAAATTTTCATACCAAGGACTTGAGGGGAAATTCCTCATACCAAGGCCTTGAGGGGAAATTTCATCATGTAAATAATAACTATAAAATAAAGTCCAATTCTAGTTTGAACTGTGGACAGAAGTTTTTGTTTTAAATAGCAGCAGCAACAACAAGGGAAACAATAAGAACAACAACTAAATCCTTTAAAACTTTAAGTTATTTCTGCTTTCAAATCTGTACTTTGAAATACTGCATAGAGTTGCAACTAGGTATGTCTGCTATAGCAGCTTCCATCCCTCACTCTTTCTTCTTTAACATCACTCTGCTATTCTCTACTTTATGGACACAGTTTGGGGGGAGAGTTAACAAAAAAGGAAAACATACTTATCACTCACATTTTCTCTAATGTCTTTCTCCCACATATCTAATAGTCACTCAGGCCCATGCTGTACCTCTTTTCCAAACTATTCTCTCTCACCTCTCCAAAATAAATCTTGTGTTCCAAAGTATCAGGAATTACTGCAGGAAAAAAAAAGAAGTCTGCTCCTGCAGGAGAATGGGCGGCTGCCACCCTTGCTGGAACCTTTCCCTCTCCTGCTCTGTAGTCTCACTGCTCTCTTTCTTGAGCACTCTGCTCTGTGCTCCTTGACCCCAAACAGGTTAAAGGGACAAGCAGCAGTTTTGCCTACCCTTGCAATTTGGGGTTCTAGATTTTTCAAGTTGCCTTTGCAGAATCCAGTGGAGTAGCTACAGCTCTTAGTATAGTGGAAAGAGCAGTGGAAAAAGGAGTTAGAGGTCCTAGACTGAAGACCTACCTCTGCTACCAGATAGCTGGGAATCATTGGGGAAGTCACTTAATCGCCCCAGGGTCTTCATATCTTCAAATGTAAGATGAAAGCATCGGAGTATAAGATATCTAAGCCACTTCCAGTACTAACATCCTATGCTTCCACAAGATAACAATTTTCCTAGCTTTGCAGGTTTTTGTAGTCTCTGCTAAGTTTGTTGCATATTGTTCTTGAACAGATGTCCACAGCTTTATTATGTCATGCTACTGCTAGTAGCATTTTAGGTCACTCTAATCCCATTTGTATTGGGTATGTGCATGTAGGTGACAGTGCTGCTTTATAAATACTCGTTGGAGGAGAAAAAATTTTTTACCCTTTTCCGTTTACTATACGTTTTACCTCTGGACCAACAAGCTTGTAGGAACTCTGAAAGTCTATAAAAGAGGTGTGGAGGAACATGGAGTAGCTATGTTAAAGGGCATTTGCCAAACTTCTTACTTAATTGCAACATCTATGACTGTAGATACTTGCCTCATTCTAAATGTGTATTTTAACCAAGTATGTAATATCATTGTTTGATATTTATAGTGGTCACTTAGCACAGACATTAATTATTGATATGACTTAAGGAAACTTGTTATTAGTCTTCATATGTAATGTATGTGTAAGCACTCATGCATAATACATAAGCTAGGGAGAGTCTTGCTGTTTCGTGATGTTTCCCAATATCCTTCCCTACCCTTAGCAGGAGCTGTTCAGTCTGCCTCAGTCTTGTGACTTGGGCTGGTAGGTTGAAGAGTGGGAAGAAGGACTGAGAAAGTGTAAAAATAATTCCTTATTTAGAAAATCTGTTAAATAAGGGTACATAAAATATTTCAGAAACATACTACACTTTGAAAAGGTAATTATAGAGAAATCTGTAAAACAGATTCTTTACTTATTCCTTATATTGTATCCTGTTCACTTTACAACCTTAGACTGGTCCTAAATGGAATTTTAATGTCTACCTCCACACACAATATTGGGACAAGTCTGAAAAGGAGAGGTTGATGAAAAGCCTCATCAGCCATGGTACTACTTTTTATATGGTTCATTTTACATAAACCTTCTAGTGGTGTTTGAGAGGAAGTGGATAAGTAGCATTATCATAAACTGACAGTGAATGTTGAGCATTTACACATCAATCAGAGGAAAACTATCTCTTGTTGTCTGATCATTAGTTAACTCCCGTCTTGTTCTAAACCAGAGAGCTTTGCACTTTCCAAAGAGAAGCTGGACGTCAACATTTTATAACCACAGACAAATGGAGAGGGAGATGGCTTGGGAAGGCAAAAAAGATGAAGACCGCAGCATTTTTAGTTTCAGGGGAACTTCCACAGCCCATACTGATAAGCACTTTGTGAAGTCGCTGCCATGTGTGCGGAGTGTACAGGTGAAACAGGTGCAACTTCTGAAGGAATCAGAAGTCTGGGTTTGCCAGTTCACAGACAGGCCCTGAAGTGACAGTGGGTCCATGGCAGTCTATGAGGAGTTGGAAAGCCATGGAGTTCAGACTGGGTGGTGTGGGCTGGTGAAAACCTCAGGAGTCCCTGAAGATCTGGTTTACCTCAAGCTGTTAGCTGTCCAAGGAGGGAAAAAACGAAAATAAGCAATGGGTATTTCCCCAAGGACACAGAGGTACTTCTCCAGCATCTGAGCAACCGAGACCACCTGCACAAGCCTAGCCGCATACATGTGACAAAGTGCACGCCATTACCAGCATTGTGAAGCTGACACAGTGCCAAACAAGCTACCCAAATGGCTGGGGTTCCAAAATACCAGTGCTTCCCTTAATAGGGCCACAAGTCTTTTATGAGGGTGTGTGTAAGCCAACCAGAGCAGCTGCTAAGGGTGAGGAAGGCTGTAGGAAAACAAATACCCGAGAGGGCCTAGTGCAGGCAGAATGGAGTTATAAGCCGGTGCTCTTTGCTTTGGGTTGATGAGAAAGGCCAGGAATTGTAGACATTGCAAAAATTAAGGAAATCTTGAGTTCTGTGGGGGAGACAAAACAGATAAGACTAAAACAGATGTAGATGGAAACCAAGAGTTTGGCGATTGAAAGGTTAGTTTGTTTTGACTGTAGTTAGTTGCTGCAGTGAAATTTTTCTCCCTGGATTGTGGTGCAGGCAGAATAGAATTTTCACAGCAATAAAGGACTTTTGGTAGTTTCCAATACGGAGGGTCAAAGAAGAATGGAGAAGTGTGAATCAGAGCAGGGTCCACCCTTCAAGTAGCTAGGGTGATGTCACTCACACTCTGGGAAACCTCTTCCCACCACTGTCTGAAGGAAGTCTAAATCAGAAAGTAAAGTTACTGGCAAGCAAGGCAAATAAGAGCCCCAAGCAATCTTTAGTTTTTCAGAAACTTCCTTGACCATCTTTTACTTCCTCATAGAGACAAGAGAACAGAAGTGAGGGTGGGGACGGCCCTCTGATTCCCCTCTACGCAGACCGACTATGAAACAAAGTCCTCAGCACACCTCTTGTCAAGGCAAAAAGAGAAAGTAAAAGCAAACTCTGGATCCTACCAAGGGGGATGGTGGGGCTGGCATTTCGCCCATCAGCTAAAGGCGTCTGTTCTTGGTTCTGCTTCCGCAGTGAGAGGCAGGAAGTCTCCGGGCAAGCGACCTGTGCTCCACCGTGGGACTGTCGGCTTCGCGGGAGCTATTTGGACCTGATAAGCCAGTTAGAAGAAAGGGTCGCTGCTCGAGGCACTGGGGGAGGGCATCATAACAGAGTCAAGATCCTGGTCACTTTAGGAGACATGGTTTAACCTGACTCCTTTTTTGACGTGCACCGTGGGCGCACTGAACTCCAAGAATCATTGCTTATCCTTGGCGATGTGGGTGAAAAACTCCACTTGACACTGAGTGGCCAAGGTGACCAAGGGATGAAGGAGGGGCGAGACGGGCAGGATGGGGCATAGGAGGTGCTGAGGAGCCCTACAATCCAGGGAAGCAAGATTTTAGAGGAAAAAGACCAGGAAGGGGCGGGGGATCCTTTCAGAAAAGACTCTGCGCCGTCCCTACCATGAACTCCTTGCCCTCAGCGCCAGAAAGGCCCTGCCCTCTCACGCCCCACTCTGCCCTCCTCCCGGCCCCCGAGGGCAATGGAGCGCCCTGGCGCCAGACCTCCCCTTCGGCTCACTTCTCTGGCTCCAGACCCCCGAGGAAAGCAGAGGTGACATGACCTCGGAGCGCAGCCCTAACCTGAACCGAGGAGAGTCAGCAGAGGTGGGAGCGTCGAGGGCCCTAGCTGGCCGGCTAGTGGACGCGCCCGCGGTTACCTGCGCCGCCAAAGGGCTCCACCAGTCCGCAGCACCAGAGGAGTAGCACGAGGAGCCCCGCCGCGCGGCGAGGGGTCGCCCAGCGCGTCCTCATCCTGAGCCAGCCCAAGCGGTCCCACCGGCTCCTCGGGCGCACACGGCACCCACCCCTCCTGGCGCGCCCAACGTGCCCCGCCTGCACCTTTGCCCTGGCCTCCCGGGGCGCCCCGGCCCCGCCCCCGCCGCCCTCGGCCAATCAGAGCACCATGTCTTCGGGCGGGGACAGGGCGGGTCGGGGAAGGGAGAGGGAGAGGAGGCGGGAAGATGACACGCCAGATGCTCTGCGCACCTGCGACGCGCGGGACCCTCGAGGAGGCGGGAGGTGCGCGTGGAGCGAGAGGGCAGAGCGCCGCGAAAACCACCCGGCTTGGGGGTCCTGGCCGCCGCCTCTCCATCAGTAAAGTTGAGGAGACGCGGCACTGGCTGAAACCTGGCACCGTCCTGGTGGGTGCGTTCGGTCAGTTGAAGATCTTGTTCTCTGCTTAACGCCCCGCAGTCAGGCATGACTTCTTCAATGCACAGCTGAGCTGGAGAGGCACCCACATCCTCTCGTATCCCACAGGGGGAAATGTGCACCTGTGGTATTGCGGCTGCAGTCAAGCCAAAGAATTCAGTAGTCCTTGGCAACGTCTTGCGTATTTTGATAGTGCAAACAAAGATGAGGTAACGGCACCCTGCAGTACCACCCGCAATTGTTAAAGAATTAAAAGCAAGAGCTGTTCGAGTGACCCTATAATATTTCCAAGGATGATTTAGGCTTTATACCCGCTTGACTTTTGCAAGTAAGCTCTTTTCTTAATAATTAATAACAGCAACAACAATAATAATAATAATACAGTAGAAATGTGGAAGTCTATGCCCCAAATTGGCAATTGTGAGAGCAGACTTTATCCTCTCCCTGTGGGAACTGCTATCATTATAGATAGGGTGACCTAAGTTGCTTGGATATGAATGTCCTATATTTTTAAACCCCATATTTACTGAGCACATGGTGAGTACCTGGGCTGGCCTCCATCCCTGCCCCCCAAGAGTGAATTCCTCCACAGGGAGGTGAATATCTAGGTTGTCTTACTTGATTCCAACTGCCAAGTCTTCACTGATTCCCAAATCTACCTTGGCTCTGTACTCTCCCCAGGCTCTAGCCTCTCAGTTCAGTGGATATGTTGAGCACTTGCCATCACAGGAACTGGACACCTCTCAGAATAAGATAAAAAGACAACATCCTCACCCTCTCAAACTTACTGAGTATTGGGGTAGACTGAGGCACGCACAGCAAACTCAGGGCAGGATGAACGGAGACTCAGACAAAGCTTCAAAGGCAACATCTCAATTTGGTCTTGAAGAATGGGTCATGGGTAGCAATTTGACCAGGCTGGAATTTGACAGCTGGTGGGAGAAAAATAGTGACAAAACGGAGGCAGGAAAATGCAAAGCAGGGTCAGAAGACAGTTGAGAGTCCAGTGTGGCCACCCTGCAGTGTGCATGTGTGTGTGTGTGTTGAAAGTAGTTGTGGTGGGGGCCTAAGAGGAAATGACAGCATAAAGGTGGGTTGTAGGTATTTTGTGAAGCGTCTTGAATATGATATTAAAGACTTGGACTTAATTCTCTAGGGAATGGGCAGTGGAAAGTTCTGAGTAAGACAATCTGCTACTGCATCTGTGGTTACCTGCCTTTCTGACCCTGCTCAGCTTGGAGCTCCTTGAGGGCAGTGGTCTTATCTTCTTCAACATCACGTCCCTAACCCTGAGCACCAGGCCTGTCCCAGAGTAAGCTCCCAATAAATATTAGTTTACTTAAGTAATGAATTCCTAGAACCACCGCCTTAGCCTAGGGCGTTATGAGTTCCTGCTTCCATTGTATTGCAGTAGTTTCTCAATTGACCTCACTGCGAACAGTTGTTATGCTGTTTGGAACATGTCCCCTTTCTTCTACTCAAATTCTTTCAGCGCTACTTGCTTATAGCAGGGTTTCCTAACTGGGAGTTCAGGGAGATTGTGAAATTGTGTGAAATTGTATGCAGCTTTATGAATGCACTTTTTTTGAGGAGGAGGAGGGGTCCAAGGCTTTCCTAAGAGTCTCAAAGAAGCCCATGATACAAAAAGAAAACTCCATCTGGGATAAAGCAATCCCCTCTATGATCTGACCTTTATCTTTAATTGCCTTCTTATGTCATTCCTTGGTTCAAGCAACCTGTCTGAATCTGTCTTGCCTGTTCATCTCTCTGCCCATATAGTCATATTTTCCCCTATCCAGAATGTCTCTTTTCCCCTCCCTTGTCTTAGTTCCACCCTTCCAGATAAGGCTCTGCTCAAATCTCATGTTTTATATAAAATGTTTCTAACAAGGGCCCTAACCCTTGGAGATTCCAAACGTCTGGGTAATGTACATTCTGCTCACATGGCATTAACATGTACTACCTCCTGCTGCTCTTTTTTCTGTAGGTACATGTGCACTGATTCTCCACCTAGGTTATAGAACCTCAATAAATATTTATTATCCATGGTGACAGTAGAAAGCAGTGTATCCTTCAAGTCTCACCTTAAATGTCACTTCTTCAAGGAAATCTTTCTTGACTCTGCCAGTCTAGTGAGCTTCCTCTGTGATGGGTTCTCAATGCATCCCACACTTTGTCTTGATGGCACTTAGCACAGCTGGATTAAATAATTATGTGCTTGCTCATTTGTTGAATGTCTGTCTCCCTCTCCAGGCAGCATAACCCATGAAGGCGGTGACTGTGTCTGCTTTAGTCACTTCCACGTTCCCAGTACCTGGCCCATGATTTGCTGGATAAGTGAATGAATAAATACATGGCAAATGCCTCAAAAAGGATGAATGAATAAATAAATACATGGTAAATGCCTCATAATTTGCTGGATGAATGGTAAATACCTGGTGCAGGCAACAGGAGGTCTAGGCATTTTAAAGAAGGAGAAATCATCTTGGGGGGGTGGGAGGGAGGGTCTTCAGACACTGGGCTGAATGTCTTTGGATGAGTAATATTCAGTAGATAGAGGCCGTGGGGATGACACTCCGAGCTGAGGCAACAACGTGAGCAAAATAACAGACATCTGCCACCCACTGGGTGCCAGGCCATTGTGCTGAGCATTTCCCGTGTGTTCTCTCATCTAATAATCATCCTATGAAGTTACTACTATTATCCTCATTTTACAAATGTCAAAACTGAGACAACACAGACAAAACCAATAACTCAGCCAAGGTCAATAGCCATAAGTGAAGATACCAGGATGGAAATCTCAATATAGAACTTGCATGAGTGTGTGAGGGTGTTAGTATTATTTTATTCCCAATTACAATTAGAGAGAGAGAATATGAGCTTTTAGGACCTCTAAAGTCATGTTTTTAATTATAAAATATATCATACCAAAAAAAGAGTAACTATGTTTGTGAGCCTCCTCCTGATCATATCTGTCTTACTCCCACACAGAGGTAACCATTACCCTGAATTGGTTATCATTCCTTTCCTTACAGTTTTCCCATATATGATTCATTCCTTGAACAGTCTATATAACTTTGTATGTTTTTGAGTTTTATGTAAATAGAATCATTTTGAGGTGTTTTTTTGCCACATATCTTTTTTGCTCAAAATTATGCCTGTGACATTCATTTGTATTGGTGTGTGTAGCTATAGTTCATTCATTTTTGTGTGGTATTCCATTATAATAATAAAGCACACTTGATCCATTCTCTTGTTGGTGGACATTTGGTTGGGTTCCAGCTGGGTAGTTTGCTGTCCTTAGCAATGCATCTTTGAACATTTTTGTACACCAGGTCTCCTGGTGCACATTGCTGAATTTTCCTGAGGATGTGTTCTTAGAAGTGGAACTCCTGGAGCATAGGTATGTTCAGCATCAACATTATTAGACATTGCTAATGTGCTTTCCAACTTGCACTCCTGGTGGTGTGTACAAGTGTTCACACTCCTAACATCTTCATCAACACTTGGCATTTTAAAATTTTTGGTGGGGAGTAAAATGGTATCTCATTGTGGTTTAAAGTTGCATTTCCCAGTGTTCATATATAAATAAAAAAATAATAAAGTTGCATTTCCCTGAATACTAATGAGATTGAACGTATTTTCCTATGTTTATTGGCTATTTGTATTTCCTTTTCCAATTCCTGTACAGGTTATTTGCCTGTTTTCTCTTAGATTCTTCCCTGCCCTTTCCTGCTTTGAATCCCAAAGGGCTACTCTGCATTTCTTAAGACTTCCTCACTCACTGTCTTCTGGTTAGCTTCAGCCAATGGGAGTTCCTGGCAGGAGATGGAAGTTTGGGAGAGGAAGAACCCAAGGTGTTTCTCTCCTCTCTGCTTTGGGAGCCTGTCAAGTGGTGGCTGTGTCTCTTCTGTTGTTCTAGCTCCTGCCTGGAAGCTCTACCCTTTGTGGCCCAATATCTACCATGCATCTCCTGCTGTGCTTCCTGCTCCTTTTAGGTGGTTCCTTCTCCAAGGTTCTAGCTCCCACTGGGTAGCCCTGGCTCCTATTCAAATAACACTAGTCCTTCTCTGTCCCTCAGGCCCCATGGATAGTGGTAGCCCTTGTAGCTGTTACTTTCTGGATAGCCTCATTAGCATTTATTTTTAGTTTTTCCAACATCTCTGTCACTAGTTATTTCCCTATATTAAATTTCTTCTATTGAACTACCTAGCATGGGTTTTGTTCTCCTTGCTGGACCTTGATGATACTGATTCAACATATGAAAGAACTGTACCTGAGACAGCATCCTAAATTGAGTAAGATGTGAACAAGAAAGACTACAAATGGAGCATATTCAGCTGCATGAGGAGCTGTGGCATAAAGGGAGCCAGTGCGGGATGCATTGAAACTGCAAGTTATGATGATGCCCACAGATGGTCCCAGGGGTGGTAAGGAGGCCCAGGCAAGGGCAAGAATAAATTTTAAACAATTCCCACTATGCCATGATAGTAAAGGTCTGCATTTATTCCTGGTCATAACTAAATTCATGAGAATTATAACTAGTTCTTGCCCTTTGGACTAGACCCCAAAGGGCAAATGTAAGGTTGTAATTATCCACTTAAAAAACAAAAAACAAAATTAAACAACTCATCTTGTGAAAACAACTGAACTTCCTCCAAGACTTTAAACTGTAGAATTCTCAGATGA